CTGAGGATCTCCAACCTCGTCATGTACATCGTCCATCATCATTCACTGGAACGCATGTCTCTAGTAGTAGTGTGTTTCATTTGAAATGCAATCCACGTATTTTTACTGCACATCTAATAAATCAAGATTCCAAAGTGGTGCACAAAGTGTTCAATTTAAAACATAAAGTCCGCCGCCTTAGTATAGGAAATCCAATAAACCACTAGTCATACTATATATAATAAATATAAATAACAGCATAAATGTAAAATTACCAGAGGATCATTATTTATGTATTTTTGAAAAACAGTGTTACTAATAGTGTGTTGTGAAATACAAATTGTTCCCAAATTTTGGTTCAGTGATTTTTGGCCTCGTCACATCTTTGGATCAGCATTTAAAGACAGAAAAGTGAAAGAGAAAGGACCAGCCTCAGCTCTCCGGCCAAAGAGTCAAATAGTGACTTACAAGTATTCAAAAGACAAGTATTTCTACGTAATGTAAGGAGTGCATGTTTCTTACTTTTAACAAGACACTTTTTGGAGGGGATGTACAATTTTGGTCTTTATGAGGAAAGTTAGGTACCCCAGCGTTTAATAAAGACTGTGACGGTAAAGTCTTATTCCTACTTCCATGACTACTGCCACCACAACAATATGTTTCTGGTTTTATAATCATTGCAGGCCTCATTGCCCTAAACAAGTGAGACTAAGATACCAGCTTATAATCCATGTCTAACATCTCTGAAGGTTTCGGCATCAGACCGGTTTGTGTACACGGGACCCGCAAAACCCGGAGTTTGGACGCCTTGTTAGGGAATACGCCTTACGAATGTATGGTCACACACTCACCTGACCACCATTGGGGAAACACCGCCCCCTGTGGAGAACTCAGGTACTTCTTTGTGGTCACAGACTTCCTGGTGAGAGACGATATGGATTCATGTACAAATAGTCGAGTAGTTTATTCACTAGTCATTACATGGGTTTAAAGTAGACTACAGGAAAAACTTTGAAAATTAGAGAAAAAAAAGTATTCTAATTACTTCTTCAATTCATTTCAATATGAACTAATGTATGTCATACGACTCATTACATGTAAAGTGAGATGTATCAAGCTTGACATTTGCCACTTTGATCACAAAGTTTAATTACAGAGATTATATGAACATTTTGGAATGATAGTTTCCATTTCCAAGTTTTATAACACAAATTATAATGGAATACTAATCCAGGTGACTAGTTCTTAGTCTCTAAACAGGTCATCTTGGACTGGGTCATTGGTATAGCTCCAGGTTTTGACTGGGTTCTGTGTTCCAGGGGGGAGTGGCTCATTTTACGCCACCATCGTTGGAACCGTGGGCTCGATGATTACCAACAAGAACGCAGCCAAGCCGACTTCCAGCACGAATCGATGCAATCAAACAATATATGAGCTTCAGGAAGGTAAAGATAGGACCGAATAATATATATTTGTTTATTTTATCTTTTCATTGAGGGTAAGGGTTATGTTTTAAGCAGATTATCCAATCAGAGAGCAGAATGAGGCTCACGTTTGGTTTGCCTGTTTTTCAGGTGAATAATACAATTAATAATAATAATACTATTCGTACTTATATAGCGCTTTTTTGGACACTCAAAGACGCTTTACAGAAGAAAAAAGTAAGAAACCACAAAATAAGAAAAAGCTAAAAATAATACAGGTTTAGTGGATAGCGGTGTTGAAATAGGTGGGTTTTGAGAAGTGAAGATCTGTTAGTGAGTCAGAGTGTCCTAATGTAGTAGGGGTGGGAGTGAGTTCCAGATGATGTGGGGGATCAGCGCAGCAAAGGTGCATCGGGTCACCCCCAGGTTCGTGCCACTTTGGATCTGAGGGCATGTTGAGTAGGATGGAGTCAGCGGATCTGAGGGCGGAGGTGGTGGGTCAGAGATGATGAGGAGGAGGTCAGCGAGGTACGAAGGGGCCAGGTTAAAAGGGAGTGTGTAGGTGGAGGAGGGAGGACATTGGGTTTTTTATGCGGTGAGGAACATAGGAGCCTGTGGAGAGTTTGAGAACGGGGTGATATTGAGTATTTTAAATTGGAAGGCAGTATTGAGCAGTGGAAAAAGGTGGTTCTGCAACCGTTCTCACCAGATTAGGGATAGGAGCTATTAGATAGGGGGGTTTATGTGTAAGATATGTATTTTTAAATAGAGTGTCTATTTTTGAATCTTTTATGATTAGACTATGCAATGGTAGGTATTGGGGTGGTTAACTTTGCTATTAGTGATTTATTGTGGAAGAGATAGCTATATAAAAAAAAAACGAGGTGGAGAAAAGAGATGAGATCGTGCTCATTTAAATCACTTTAGAAAACTGTGAAAAACTCTTAATGTACTGGGAGTGGATATTACTATTTAATATTTATAAATGTAAACATCTTTGATAATATTATGTCGTAAAACTTTATACAAAGTTGATAAATTGAGAAGGAAATTATGAGGGGGTGGTATTGGTGAATAGGGAAAACATTTTAAAATATTGATAATAATGACGTAAATTATATATTATATGATATAAAAGTACTCAATCTATCAATGGCTACTTGTTCCTAAAGCTATAAAATACAAGGTCATAATACCTAAAATTATTATAAAATTGATTTAATGAAATTAAGTTCATCGAAGAACATCCTCCATATTAAATGGTACAATAATGAACAAAAAGCCTAAATCAGATGACTCAAAACTACCTCCGCACTGACATCTGATCAAAGTAAAAATGGGATAAGTCATTGGCATCGGCTGCTACCCACTCTCTAGAACTCACAATCCCCACCCCATACTTTAGTAAATCAGTCTCACTAAAAGAATTCACTTCTCAAAACCCACCTGTTCAAAACTGCCTACACTTAACTGTTTATTTTTAGCTTTTCTTTTTTTGTTTCTTATTTTTTCTTCTGTAAAGCGTCTTTGAGTGTCCAAAAAAGCGCTATATAAGTACGATGTATTATTATTATTAATTGTATTATTCACCTGAAAAACAGGCAAACCAAACGAGAGCCTCATTCTGCTCTCTGATTGGATAATCTGCTTTAAAACCATAAACCCTTACCCTCAATGAAAAGATAAAATAAACAAATATATATTATTCGGTCCTATCTTTACCTTCCTGAAGCTCATATATTGTTTGATGGCATCGATTCGTGCCTGGAAGTCGGCTCTGGCTGCGTTCATGTTGGTAATCATCGAGCCCACGTTTCCAACGATGGTGGCGAAAATGAGCACTCCCACCTGGAACACAGAACCCAGTCAAAACCTGGACTAGAACAATGACCCAGTCAAGAATGAACCTGTTTAGAGAGCTAAGAACTAGTCACCTGGATTGTATTCCATTATAATTTGTGGTATAAAACTTGGAAATGGAAAATATCATTCAAAATGTTCATTAATCTCTGTAATTAAACTTTGTGATCAAAGTGGCAAATGTCAAGCTTGATACATCTCACTTTACATGTAATGAGTCTATGACATACATTAGTTTCATATTGAGAATTGAATTGAAGAAGTAATTAGAATACTTTTTTTTCTTCTAATTTTCAAAGTTTTTCCTGTATGTCTACTTTAAACCATGTAAGACTAGTGAATAAACTACTCGACTATTTGTACATGAATCCATATCGTCTCTCACCAGGAAGTCTGTGACCACAAAGAAGTACTCTGAGTTCTCCACAGGGGGCGGTGTTTCTCCAATGGTGGTCAGGGTGAGTGTGGACCAGTACATGCTGTAGGCGTATTTCCTAACAAGGCGTCCAAACTCCGGGTTTGCGGGGTCCGGGTACACAAACCGGTCTGAGCCGAAACCTTCAGAGAGGTTAGACATGGATTAGAAGCTGGTATCTTTAGTCTCACTGTTTAGGGCAAGTGAGGCCTGCAATGATTATAAACCAGAAACATTTGTTGTAGGTGGCAGTAGTCATGGAAGTAGGAATAAAGACTTTACCGTCACAGTCTTTATTAAAGCTGGGGTACCTAACTTTCCCTCATAAAGACCAAAATTGTACATCCCCTCCAAAAAAGTGTCTTGTTAAAGTAAGAAACATGCACTCCTTACATTACGTAGAAATACTTGTCTTTTGAATACTTGTAAGTCACTATTTGACTCTTTGGCCTGAGAGCTGAGGCTGGTCCTTTCTCTTTCACTTTTCTGTCTTTAAATGCTGATCCAAAGATGTGACCGAGGCCAAAAATACACCTGAACCAAAATGTGGGAAAAATTTGTATTTTCACAACACACTATTTGTAACACTGTTTTTCAAAAATACATAAATATGATCCTCTGGTATTTATACATTTATGCTGTTATTTTATTTATTTATATAGTATGACTAGTGGTTTTATTGGATTTCCTATATTAAGGCGGCGGACTTTTATGTTTTAAATTGAACACTTTGTGCACCACTTTGGAAACTTGATTTATTAGATGTGCAGTAAAAATAGTGGATTGCATTGGATTGGACTGGATCTAAAAAACAAAAAATATCTCTGTTTCTTCACTCTATATGACCGCCAGGAAGTCCATTCAAAGAGTTTGGAGTTAAGCAGAGTGAAGGCCTTTTGCCTGTCAGGTGGATCATTGGAAGTTCTGAGAAGTACTAACCGATGGCTTTGGAGAAGGAGTAGTAGAGACATGCGTTCCAGTGAATGATGATGACGATGTACATGACGAGGTTGGAGATCCTCAGAGCGTTGGGGAAGTTTGTCCTGGTCTCTGTCCTCTGGAAGAACTCCATCATCCTGGATCAAAGTGCACACGTTACTGCTGTAAGCTGTATACAGATTATAGATTATGTATGCTTGTGTATATACCGTGCTATATGAAACCTAACCCAAGGCTGTCTAAATGCTCATGGGAGAAGTTTTGCTCCCTATTTTATTTTATTCGTCTGCAAATTATAAATCAGTACAAAAATTACTCAACATTACTGTAAATGTGCCAGTATTAGCTGTACAGACAGATACTTGCTCTGGTTCCATTCACTTATATTGAAAAGTAAACTAAAGGAATGCATAATTTAGCCATGTCGTATCAACTACATAATCAACTACATGAATATATTTAAAAGCAATACTTTCCCTTAGCATGACCAGCCCCGGTAAGATTTGCCCGAGAATAGAAAATAGTCAGGCCAATTGCAAGGGGCCTTGTCTGTGTATCAAGGATTTATGTTTATTCTTTCCAATCAGGAAGCAGTGTGGGTGAAAATCTCTCTCTATTCATATTTCACTTATTCCCGGTGTTTTTATTTTGATATTGTCTTCATATGACCCCGACCACTTGAAGTCTTGTTACCTGTTGAATCGCAGAAGTTTGTTGAGGCGGATCTCTGGGTACTTCACTCCCAGGATCAAAAAGAGGATATCGGTGGGAACCATGGAAGCTGCGTCCATTTTGAACTGAAAACTCTGCATGTAACGTTCCCTCAGTTTGAGCTCTTCTTTCACCAACAAGCCCTGCTCCAGATACCCTGAAACCAGCACGGAAACGGGGTTAAGTCAAGTCTAAAACAGGTCTAGAGCAAGTCTAAGACAGGACTGAACAAAGCTACACCAAGTCAAAAACAAGCGAAACAAAAACATTCACTCAAAAGTTTTGTTTGATCAATTCTTGTAAATGAACATTCGAGTCTTGAACACATTGACAAGCCACAGACTGTAAATGGAGTTACGTAGATCCTAAAAGTTTAAATGTATACATTTTAAGAAAGAACTGCCCTCCTCAGACCGAACACCTAAAATGTGTCTTCCATATTACTAGAATGATTGACAATTAGGATGACTAATAGTTTAGTTGATCCACCCGGAAGAGGAAAATTCTTACCATATACCTTTAAGTACTCCACATAATCCACATATATTTCAAGAACTGAACAATAGCTGGCCAATCATGTTGCGACTTATTTTCTTTTAGCAAAAGGTTCAGCTCTGTCCCCTTATTTTAACCGTCAGCTTAATGACTTCTGCTGTAGTCTGTTCACTGCTATTCACCCTGCTGTCCCATTGTCTGTTTCATGGCGTATGAAGGGACCCCAGGCCTCTCTGATGTTTCTCTAATCCATTTTCATCAGTGTTTTATTTTTATTTTTTTGTCTTTTCTTGACGCTGCAGGAGGGTCCAAGGACAGGGACGGACATTTATGGACATTGGTCATCCCGTCCCTATTGACTAATGGCTCCCATGTGTTTGTTCCTCTTGCGTTTCCTGTGTTTTGATTGTCTTGTCTGTTGTTGGTGACTTTAAAACTTTGTAATGTCCTTTGAGACAACTGCTGTTATGGTTTAGGGCAATACAAATATAAATTGAATTGAGTTGAAGGCTTAATTTACATCAAAGAGGCACATCCCTTATTTCTTTTTAGCCATGAGATAAGGAGGTATGAAGGCTGGTTGCAAATTTAGCAGAGCAGTTTTTTGTGTATCCTTTGCATTGGCGTGTGTCTCTTGAATAAATAAGTAAAGTAGATACCAGTTCTTGTTCTGAAGACCATGTCCCCGATGTAGGTCATATCTGAAGCAAAGTCCAGGAAGAACCACAGGTACAGATAGTCCGTCTGCAGCTCCTCGAAACACGCCCTAAAGACAACATTTTGGCTTCGTATGTAGACTGTATTTGCTGTAATTTTACTGCACATTTAAGGTACAAAATATATTTCCTGACAGGGATGCTCACTAATTATAGAGGAAACAAAACGTGTATGTGCCAAAATGTAGAACTACTTTTAAGTCAATGAGTATCTCAGTGTGTGGAGCTACTCTTGGGAACAAATAAACGATTAATGATTTCATTTAAAAAACTGTACAGAAGCACTGCCTTCAGCACAGAGAAAGTAGAGGAGTGCAGGGTCAGAGAGTTTTTTGCCCTGTGTGTGTGGTTCCATTTGTGATATTGTTTTGTGTTGTGTTTTTGTATTGTTTTTGGTCTGCTTCATCCAACCCCTTTACCATTTGTATTTATAAGGGTAATTGTTCGGAAATCCATATCTTGAAGTTGAAAACCTTCCCATTGCCCTGTTTTAGGGTTTAAGGTTTTACTGGGTGAGATTTAAGGTGGACTTTTTCTTATGCTGCTTTACCTGGCAATGATGAAGGTCCAGTTGTACATTACAGGGATAGTGATGATTAAGAGCCAGTAATAGTAGGTGTTGGAGGCCGGGTCGATAACAGCAATCTCTTTTGGGCTGAAGGAAAAACACGGTTCATTCTGTTTACTCAAATCATTTGGTTAAAAGTCATACACTGACAATCACTGAAAAATACAATTGTTTGCATTTAAAACATGGGGTAAATGTTATTGCGTCTGTTAGTTTAACCCTTTAGGCGACAAAGCAGGAGAATACACGTCACTTCCTGTACAGTGACTCGACTTCCACTGTGTTTTTTTATCTGCAAGTCAGTCTTATCTCTTTCTATCTTATATTTGATCATATTTGAAACTTACGGCTCAACTTTCTTTTCCTGTTCCTTCTCTTTCTCTTTTTGTTTCTGCTCCTTTTCCTTCAGTCTTTGCTCTTTTCGTTCCTTCTTCTCTTGCCGCTCTTTTCTGAAACACAAACATGAAGCGTAAAATAGTAAAACCAGTGGGGGCGAGTCCCGGCTCAAAAAGGTCCATGAGCACATGTGCTGACATGATTGTAATCTCACTCCTTGCAGGAGGTGGTGGACCCGGAAACAGATTTATCCATTGAATTCTAACAACGTATTTTATTCCTCTCAAAAACGGCTTTACAGCCTGATCCTATCACTGTGTCGTAAATATTTACAGTCTATGGGTAAAACCACAGTCACATGATGTTGACAGTGTGGCTGAACACTCACTCCTTCTGCTCTCTCTTCTCCTTCTTCTCTCTCTTCTTCCTCTGCTTCTCTTCATCCTTCGCTGATGTTTTGGTTTCTTCTTTTTCCTCCTCCTTTTCTCTGAGATCACACATTACACACATTATTATCAAGTCCACATTTCACAACTCAAATTATGAAGAAAAAGCATTTTCCCCAGATGAATTTATGATCATAACCTTTAAAATCACACTGTGGGCACAGACTGATACTTTGAAAACACACTGAGAAAACTCAGATTTCTCTGTGTGTAGAATCAACATCCTGCAAAAACAAACAAGTTTGCAAAACTTGCCCATTACACACATCCTGTATTCTATAAATAACTTGTGGAGAATTCAATATCCAGATATCAATATCAATATAGTAATAATAATAATGCATAGCATCTCACTCACTTTTGATCGTCGTTGTTGTTGCTGTTATTGACGTTGAACAAAATGGCGGCTTTTCGACTTGACCTGAAACAATAATGAAAGAGGAATGAAGTGAAGGTCGAGTCTTTAACATTTTAACAACACAGTTTGTTTTCTCACTGTTCGCTCCACTTCGGCCGCTCCATCTCTGTGACGACGATGGCGGGCGGAGCTAAGGGGGACACTTTGGCCATGATTAGTCTGAAAATGAAACACCGGTACATAGATTACAGAACAAACATGATGCATCTGTTGAAGCAGTGAAAGCTGAGGTTCCTAACTTTCAATAATGGATCAATGGAATAAAATCAATCTGGGCACTGGTTACTCAACAATTTGGTTCTGCACTCCAGCTTATAATCAAAAAGTAGACATGGGGACAGTGAATAATACTGTCATTAATTTTTATTTGAGGTACTTGATATTACTTTTAAATTAGACTTTCCATTGAAACACATCAAGTGTCTTTCTTGGCAAAATAAATAAATAAAGACAATAGGTTTCACAGTTGAAATTTGCTTGAAATCTTGAAGGATATTATTATGCTGTATAAATGTTATTTATATCGGAAATGTTAACAAGGCATTCAACACGTCTGTGATTTTTTTCCCTCAAGGACAACATTTTTCAAAATGGGCCAAATATATATTATTATTATTAATAATTTACAGGCATAATTCAAAACGGACGTCAAGCAAAGAATTTACCAGATTTCCTTTTGAGTTTATTTTAAATCTTTTGACGCGAATGCTAAATCTTAAGCTCATATCAAATACATAGCATTCTTCAACACTGTTTTTCTCATATCTTGAAATGCACTCACCTTTTCCTTACAGTTTCCTCATGTTAAAACTCCCATTGATGTGAAAAAAGAAACTATCACAGTGTAAAGACTTTTCCAGCGCAGAGAAACCGGAGCAGCGTCTCCAAATGAACGGATGAAAAGATTAGGAAGGATAAGACACCGGACAAACAGCCAGACAATACAGACAACAGAACAATCTGATACATTATTTTTTTCATACGTTATTGCTATAAACTGAGAGACACAAAAGACAAAAAAAACCATAAAACAATAAAAGTTATCAAATCCATTGATAAGTTTACATTGTGCAGAGTTAGTTCTGTTGTAATCACTGCTTTACCATTGTCCAGGTGGCACATATATTTGTACATTTAGTTAACACTTTGAAGCCACAAACTTTGGTTCTATCACTAAATTTCACATGCTTATTTGTTTGGCCAGTCAAATCTAAAGATCCACTTTTTCAGAGTAATAGACAAGAGACAGACCAATCAGCTCTCAGTGTGTAAAAGAAAATGTTTTCTCATAATATACAGTAGAATAGTGTGTTTGGATTTCACAAAAAGTGAAGCAAAAAACATGTATTTATGAGACAAGCATTTCAACCTAGATTTTAACTGGCAAATCATATGAAATTACCTGTACTGTTTTATTTTAGTAATTTATTGTGCTCTGATTTCACATAAAATATTTGTGTGATTATGATATACATATAATGTCTCAATATAATGTCTCAAGTCCCAGGTATTGTCTCAGGACCCCCACTTTGGGAACCACTTGAGGACACAGACAGATGGGCCACTTTCAGTCTCTGCGTTGGGTTTTGTGATTGATTCAGTTTTATAATCTGCCAGAGTCACTTCTTGTCATGTATAAGCATTTAGTAATATAGTCAAAGCTGAAGCTGAATGTTCATGAAAGAGGGGACGAGAGGTCAGCTCCTCACAGAGAGCAGCCTCCACTGGGGCACGGGACTGGGGCAGTTGGACAGATTAGAGAAATGTTTGAGTCAGCAGAGCCCAAAGAGGATTACAGCAGCGGCCAATTATAAGCACTCCAAACGCTGTGCGCTTCTGCGGTGTGGAAGCAGCGGCGCTGATACCTATCAATAGCACCTTAAATTTAGAGTACCTTTTTTTTTTTTTTTTGCCCCAACAGAACGAGTCAAGTTAAAGTATTTCGACCTGGAGAGATTCAACAGACAAAGGGGTTTTTGGAATTAGGTGTATTGGTCTTTAACTGCATTAGGCACATACGACTCTGCTGACATTGTGATGGGGAGGAGGAGGGTTGCTGCACAATATGAAAGCTTGAATTATTGGCTGTGCAGTGCTGCCACCGTAGTGTGATGACTGATTGCTGATGCGGCACAGTTGCAGTGGGACGACAGAGAGCAGTGAGCTCATGAAACTGTAGTCTCCAGTATTCCAGTCCAACCTCCTCTTTCCACATCAGACCAAGATCATTAAGTCACTTGGTCACTATTGTTGTAAGTCACTATTTTATGCTTTTGGCCGCCCAAGAAATGGACAAAGAGGAAGAAAATGGATGGATGGAGGGCGGGGGCCGTATCTGCAGAAGTTCCACGTACTGTATTAGTGTGGATGATCTGTAAACAACTCCAGGTCTGCTGTTGATCAAGAACAATGTTGCAAGAGGGTTAGAAATAGATAGATTGATATACTTTATTGATCCCCTGTAGGAGAAATTCAGGTGTCCAGTAGCAGCAGAAACACTTTCATCCACACAAACAAAACAAATAAACTGATCATTCTAAAAAGCTGACAATAGTAATTATAATCAGCAACAGCACTCTCTGCTCTAGTCCAAAATGCAGATTATTTCGACATATTGTGTAATTAATGTGTGACCAAACGTATTGAAGATGTTGCAGGAAAGGTTTGAACTCAATATTAAATCTTTATCCACAGTTTTATTGGTTTATGACGCCGACGGTTATTTTCTGCAGCTAAAAGTGATCACTTGGAATAGGGGGTAGGGACTAATAAGCTTTCTTGCTTCAGCCTACTCCTTTTGAGCTACTTTACAACAGTGTAATCTTGTAATAATGAAAAATATGTTTGCAAAATGCTCAAATAAATAACAATCAATCAATCAATGACACCAAAGACATTAAGCTGTGCAAAGCCATAAAAGTTTCTCTTTCACAGATCAGTGTCTGTAGATCAACTGCTGTCAAGGGTGAGTTTCAAGTATCAATCTATTTCATGTTTGAATGCATAGAACGTAATGTATTTGTTTTGCTTACTCATCAGTAATTCCCATCAGTTGAAGATTAAATTGAATTGGGTGAAAGATAGGCTTTGAGAATAGTATGCTGTTTCAAAATCTGAAGGAGTGATTGGGAGGAGTGGGGGAAAGGTTTTACTGCAAACATCACTAGAAAATAATGTATATAACATGGCAAGCAATTTCTCACAAAACAATGAGAAAATAATTCCACTGGACTGGAAAGCAAAGACTGTTAAGATTATTATTATTGTGTTTGTTTATGGTTGAAACAGTAAGGCCGTGAAATACTCCCCTGAATCTCGTTTTAGTTTCTCTGCTCATTTCACGTTCTAATGTACTGTAGTTCAAGCAAAGCAGTGGATCTCCATGACTCAACTGAACCTACTTCTCCTGCTCATGGTTCTCATGTGCTCTGTGGACACTTTTCTTCCACCGTAAGTGCGCCCCCTGATAAAACCTTTTAACCATAGACTGTATATAGATGGACAATGCCAACCCAGTAGTTCAATGAAGCCCAATAGGGAAGTGCTGATGGATAAAGTTCTGGCTCCTATTGCCGTACATTAGCTGTATTTTCCCTCATCCTGAAGGCAGAGACGGAAGAAAGATGTGTTGACTCAACTTGGACACAGCACAAGCTTGGAATCAGAGCTCGGCTTCAGAGCCCAGACCAAAACAAATGATTAGTGATCTGGATGGCTGTCTGGATCCAGCGTTTTTTGCTGCATGTAATAGCATCTATTGGCAAACATCTGGTTCTCCTGGTCTTGTGCAGTGGTTCTACTTCCGCAGGACCAAAGTAACATGTGAGCCTGGTGTTTACTCTGACAGTTGTTTCTTTAGGTAGATAGACCTAAAGAAAGAGTCCTAGTATAACATGTTTATGACTCACACATGCGTGACACATTTTAAAACTGTGTACAAGAGAAAAAAAACGATTACCAAAAGAGAAGGCTGCATGTTTTGTCCTCTTTAAGATGATCAAAATGAACTAAAATAAATTAAACAACAATAAGGTATTGAATTGTTTAAATTCAAACTTTTTTTCTTTCTGTATCCAGGCCTTCAGACCCTCCGGAGTCGGTCCCGAGGAGAGAAGGTAAACATCTTAATACAAAACTTTGAAACCACAAGTCTCGCTCTCAAAACGGCTTGATTCTATCACTAGTCTTCGCATGTTCTGTTTGACCTCTGTTCCATCTGAAGATCTGCTTTTTAAGTGAAGTAGAGCCCTAAACAAGACTATTTCTGTCGAGACAAACAAAACTATGTTTTCCTCATTAAAAACCAATTATTCTCTGTCAAATACAAAAGTATCACTAACCGTTTTCACACCATGTTTAATTGATCACATTCAAATCCCACAAAAAAACTGCAGTAATGTCTCTTAGTGCATTGATCCTTTACTTCCCTCAGATTTCGTGTCTCTCACTTGGTACAGGACCACTGCCCACAGACGACTGCATTTGTCAGACGATAATCGAACAGCCACTCTGCTCGGCGAGACAGAGACGTACCCCATCCACCACTATTGCCCCCAAAGCACACAGGTCCTGGGCTCCACGCCTCTGACCGGCCGCTGCTACTTTGAGGTGCTCTGGAATGACTGGGTAGACATCTCTTTGGCCCATAAACCTACGACCAACACTGACAGGAGACGAACACTCCAGTAAGTGGTCAAGTAGACAATAAATATAATTTTAATGAAAAATAATATCAAATTGGAAGATCTTTAAGCAAATGTTCAACCTGACACATTCCCATGCGACCCCATCATGCTCTCAGCAAGCACCCTGGTCAACCCCGAGAACATCTCCTAGTTTTCCATGGTTCATTTTATGAGTGGCCTTTCACCCAGGGTCTACAACAACGGTGCAACGGTGAAAAACCCCGCTACTATAATTACAAATATAAACACATCTTCGATATCTTTATGGCACTGCAGGAGAGATCGGCCAGAGGACAGCAGGCATCATCTCGGGGGTGGTGGGCGTCTTTCTGGACTACGACGCCGGGATGTTGTCCTTTTACGAGATCATGGATGAGGGGAGAGCATCTCACCTCTACACCTTCAGGGAGACCTTCACCCAGCCGCTGTTCCCAGGTTTCGGGGTGTGGGTGGTGTATGCTCAACGGTCAGTGGGGAACTCTGGGACTCTGCTGTCATCCCCACGGATTTCCCCATAGAAGTTACCTCCAAGCAGAAAGGCAGTCACAGTTAGAAGGACGGCGAAGGAAGCAGAACCTGTTCAGCCATCAACTTTCTAAATATTTCTTCTTTTGAATGTGTATTAACAGACTTCCCATTGCCACTACTTTTGTAAATGTCATTGGGGCAAAAATATGATCAAAATTAGTATAAACTATGTTCCGACATTTTTCGTCAAGAAGAACAAATTACAAATGTATGGCTGTTCTTCCAGATAATTGATAATAGCATTGTAAACAATCAAACTGGTGATAGAAGTGGTTACATGCTGACAACATGGACAATCACATACCGCATACATTTTATTTTCAATCCAAACTATTTCACTTACAATAAGAAATAAAGGGTATTATGGCCTTTTGTGTTCATTAGTCATTGGGGGCAGTTAAGTGATGACATAACACACAAAGATTCACGCTGAGATTATTGCAAAGACAAGTATTAGGTTTATTAAACGTATATATGCCTGGTTTATTCCATCTATTGTTGCTAAACATGACTGTAAAAGCCTGATCCCCACTGACATATGGAAACAAGAAAGTAATGAGACGTGAAGAGAATTTGAGTATAGTTGCATAGCTATAGAAAAGTACATATGGAGCTGCCAGTACACGACTGATCATATGTAGAGCAACTACTCAGGTAAGATCAAAAGAAAAGAAAAATATAAACTAATATTGTGACATATTTTAAGTGTTTTTTCGTGGAAAAGGTTAAGGCTGGGGTTTAACTTTTGTTTCATATTTCATATTTGTGTTAGTACCAACAGAGAGAGGAAAAAGTACAAATTGTAGCGGCATCAAACCACCACAAACTTAGGAGGACTTTACATGAAAGAAAGAGACACTATTTCATTTGAGTGAGGGTGGTTCTCTTTTTCATGTTTCTGTCTGAAAAAGCTGATTTGATGTGGTACATGCTTGTGACAACTATATAGAATCCAACCTTTGTTTTGAGAGAAAGCTTTATCACAGTAACATTAATGTGGTTCAAGTTTTAGGTGCTCCAGCTTTAAGTAGAAAAGGTCAGAGAGAGCATATTCAATGTATAACCGCATTATCGATTCTACTATATAGTTTAAGTTATTTTTTCTTGTGTGTTTTTTGTCAGGATGGACAGGGCCAATTTTTCCAGCACGTTGATCCTTTGTACTGACTACTCGGACCAAGTTTTATTCTTTGTCTGGTTTGCGACATACTGTCTCTTTTCCCCCCTCTTCCTGTCCGTCCTTGTTGTCGCCTTCATAAAATGGAGGAAACAGGGTAACGGTCATTCTACGTTCAGCCACTCCGATGTCTTCACCTTCCACATGATGGCGCTGGAGATACTGATGATTTTCGGATCGGTTTCGTACTTGTATGGACTTCGCACCGGAAGGTCTGAGTTTGTCATCACTTGGGATTTCATAATTACCCTGAGCCTATCTATGCAGACGTATTTTCACTGCCTTACGTGTCAAGATCGTTACCTGGCCGTGGTTCACCCAATCACTTACCTGCGTTCAAAGCAAAGGGGCGGAGTCACCATTCGCAACATCCTAATTGGGGTTGGCTGGGTTGTAGGCCTGAGTCAGACGGCTTTACTTGCACTTTTAATCAATGCTTTGGAAAAAATGATTGCATATTTGCTTTTAAATCTAATCGCTTTTGTGCCTGTGATGTATTGTAGCGTTTCTGCTCTCTGCGTTCTGTTTCGTCCAGGGCCTGGGGAAGGGGGCGGTAACAAGAAAAAGATTGGCCAATCAAAACTGTCAGCAATTATTACCATCACGGCCATATTAGGAGTTCTTCTTGGGAGGATGCTGCAGTTTGTGGCAGTAAATGTCTGGTGTATTTTAGGTAGTCCTAATCCGTGCATTTTGGCAATGATCACGCTCTGGCTCAATCTGCCCAGCAGTCTGGTCCTGCCACTGATGTTTCTGCACCGTGCTGGAAAACTACCGACCTGTTGTTAGAAGAGTACACTGCTGCTAAACATGCCTGCCAAAGCCTGATCTTGTTACATCTCAGAAGCTAAGCAAGTCAGGGCCTGGTCAATACTTTTATGTACTCTTGTTTTCTTGTCATAGGGTTAAGGTAAAAGAATACTTTATTATTCCAAGTATACGCAACCTGTTACGAGCAGATATTATTGCTCGGCATGTATGGATCAGGACTATCTTGTCTGGAGGAAGGTAAAAGCTTCTGCAGGATCTGAAAGTTCCTCATAAACTCATAGTAATCAGGATGGGGTGGTGCAAAAAGGAGAGGATTATTAAAAAAGACAAATTCTATCAATATCAATGTTTGTGTGATGTTACATTTGTTATTGTGGGGTAAACGAAGCATCTGTATATATAGCTGTTGTATTAGTCATAATAAAATAACACATAATATGCATTATTTCTTTTCAGTTTGGTCTTTAAAAGTGGTCTTGAGACGGTTTTTGCTTGTTTGGGATTTTGTGTTTAATATTTGTATATGCTTGTATTTTGGAATAAGGGATTGTCAGGATGAGCAGCACCTTATGAAACCCAACCATGACCAAAGAAATTCAAGACTTTACCGTTTTAAGTCTGTCTAGCATAGTTTATGTTATTCTCTTAATTATGCATGTCTTTTTTTAATACATTCACATTGGCTTGATCTGTAAACAGCTCACAAGAAAAAGCTGGGGTTTGGTCCCACACCTGTGGAAATGGTTCATTAGAAATGTATGCAAAACTCAACAGCAGGCACCATTCCATCATCGGACTCTGGTTAACCCGCTGACAGGTTAGTCACCCATTTAATTTCTCTATATGTTATTGTTATTGGTGCAGCTTTTATCATTTTATAAAAGTGATATCAATTTACAAAGAACAGATTGTTGATCCAGGATTTAATAACGTCATGATTCCACTGCAGGGTCTTGTGTAACTAATTTATTGTAGAAGAACCTTATCTCCTGATCCACAAATGTAGCTAACATTTAAAACACAGTAAATAGTGGGACTTTCTACCTACGATTTGTATTGAAAACATGCGAGCAACACTCTGTTGCCTCCAAGATCTTAGATTTTGCGCAAAGCAAAGCCGTATTCAAATCCGGTGTTCTGTCGAGTTGTGCCGCTCAGCTTTTAATGATGTAATGCAAACATGCGCGTCTCACGGCAGCCGAAGCAAACCAAGATGGCGGTCTGTGAATAGCTTTAAAAGTTATAATACGAACAAATTAAGACACGAATTTCACTTTTAATGCAATTTGAGGCGAGATGTTGATGGTTCTGTGTTGTTACATGTGGGTTTTAAGAGTCAAAGTTTCGTGTAAAGTTTAGTTTAAGCAGTCAACTGCGCCTGTGAAACCACACTGCTGCGGACACGTCCTGTGGCAACTCTACAGCTTACAACTGGTCTGTCGGGTTGATAATGGAAATAATTGATTTAATTTAATGCATGTATCGTACTGTATTTAATATTGTTACGACCCGGCTCAGCTAGGTGTGAGGAAGCAACAAAATAACCAAGATGGTAGAATGGTAATTTATTTAGGTGACAAAGTAGGTAAAACAAAATAGGATTAATGTCTACATAACACACAATAAATAACCTATTAAAACAAGTGAGCAATTGACAAAACCAAACCTAAATTAAAGTGTCTCAACATAAACTAAACAAGTCACTGAACTAGGGTACCGGCACAAGTGACAAAACACAGACAAAAATAATGGTCGGCACTAGATCGATGGTCGAACGGAATCGGGACGAAACCGGAAGTAACAATCCTACTTTCAAATTAATTTTAGACTAATTCGTCCTTAAATGGCGACTGGTTAAGTTTTAGGTGTTTAAGTAAGATGGTTAAGGTTAGGGTTAAGGGTGGGTTGGGGTTATTTTATGGGAATGGCTGGTTAAGTTTAGGCATGAATAGGTAGTTTGTTATTTTCACTTCCGCTTCCGTCCCGATTCCGTATATGATCTAGTGCTGACCCAAAAATAATGGCGAACTGGAGTCCACTGACTCCAGCTGCCCCGAGCCGTGGATGATTGGCAGCTTATAAGGGCGGGTCCTCCAGGTGAGCGCACGCTGATTGGAGGCCTGCCTCAGCTGCTGCCCAATCAGCACCCAGGCATCGTGGTCAATCAGCTCCAGGTGGGTAATGACTGGCCAATAGGAGCCCAGGACTCACGAGCATGGTCTTCTGAAAAAGGGAGGAAATACAACACACAGAGACACCACGGAAGAAACTAGGTGATCCCCAAAATAGGGAATTACGGGCCGTGGGCCGTAACAAATATGATTAATAATAGTGTGTTCAAACCAGTGGGGGCGGGTCCCGGCTCAAAACTGGCCAAAATGACGTGCGCTGACATGCTTGCAATACCACCCCGGGCCGATGGCGGTGGACCCAGAAGAAGTATTACCAATGCTAACATATAGTGTTGGCAGACCTCTCAAAAATGTCTTTACAGGATGGACCAAAAGTTGGCTCTTAGCCCAAAGCTCCGTTCCACGTGTGTGTCAATGCTGAGGGGGGTGAATTTTTTAGTTCCACTCTAGTTTACTTGCTGTGAATTATTGAAGTCTCTCGTTCAAATGAATGGAGCTGCGCCGGGTGACGCATGCGCAGATGCGTTTTTTCACAATTTTCTTGTGGGTGGGACCACTCGCGGCCATTTTGGATAGCTCCAGTAGAGCAAATTTTTTGACCCATTAGTTAGAACGGCGGAGATAGGCGTGACTCTGTCCATTAATATATACAGTCTATGGTTCAAACAAAATTTGAAAAATGGGGAATAGTTTTTCCCCATTTTCCATATCAACCCGACAGACCAGTTGTAAGCTGTAGAGTTGCCACAGGACGTGTCATTAGCCTACGTCAGCAGCCGCGGACTGCTATCACACAGCAGTAGTGTGGTTTCACAGGCGCAGTTGACTGCTTAAATTAAACTTTACACAAAACTTTGACTCTTAAAACCCACATGTGACAACACAGAATCATCAAAATCTCACTTCAAATTGCATTAAAAGTGACATTCGTGTCTTAATTTGTTCGTATTATAACTTTTAAAGCTATTCACGGACCGGCATCTTGGTTTGCTTCGGCTGCCGTGAGATGCTAATGTTTGCATTACATCATTAACAGCTGAGCGGCCCAACTCGACAGAACACCGGCAAGAATACCTCCTTTCTTGTGAGACTTTTATAAAAAACTCCAGGTTTGGTCAAGTGACATTTAACAAAGTTAAAAGATGGTTTAAAGGAACAATATGTAAAAATCTGGCCAAAAGTGGTACTGCAGTCACAATCAATATTTTGTAGTCCTCTCCCACTCTCCCTGACTCAGGTTGCCAGATACACACCAAATCCAGCAGCAAACACAGGGAATTATTTTATCAGTTGTTTGTCTCCATTCACATTGCCATGAGGCATGCTAATGTTGAATGAATGTTTATGTCAAGTGGTGAGATTAAATGAGACCCAAAATGCAAAACAATAATGGATTTAATAAAAAGATGAAACAAATCCAAAAACACAGGGACCGAGGACCGAACTAAATTTGCTTTACCAATGCTTTGAGGCTTTTGACAAAGTAGCGCTAATCCTGAACCAGGGACGGTAGGTGTTTGTGTCCAGCCCACCTGTACCACTGACAAGACGATGGGAACTTTATAGTTTGTTTCCTGTGGCTTGTCCAATGATTGAGAAACCAGTGAAGAATTATTACTCAAACTTAAATCGTACTTTTTACAGTTACCTGGAAAAATGTTCCATAATTTTAACTATAGGCTTGCTGTTGTGATACCAAATGAAAGCATATTGTTCCCCATATGGATTGTTATGACTCCTCACTTGTATGCTATCAGTGCAATAATTTGAAATAAAGTTAGAATGTGCAATATGGGACCCACATGCATAGCAATGTCACCCTTTAAATTTTGATAGTGGAATACACCATTTACCTGTTGTAGAGGTCTATGAGGGTCTATCAGGCTACTTTAGGGATTGGATGGATTGAAGACAGTATCCCAGTGGCCGCTGTTAATATCTCCGCCACAAAGCTTTCTTATGCTGGCCACCGTGTTCAGTGACACCGTGGTTCCTCTTGGAGTGTGGCAAGGCTGCGCTGAGGTTTAGTTCCTTCAGTTACTGCATTATGAGGGGATCCGTACAAAAAAACGGAAGTTAACAAATAAACCAATAACAGTGTTGATATGATTTTATATTCAAAGCTAGTACAAACTATTGACAAAGCATTTTACTTACAGGTAAGCATAAAAGCAGAACAAAAGTTTATGAATGAAAAAAGAAAGATGTATACTAAGTGAATCGTTATTACTACACAAAGAGCTGATGCTAAAGAAAAACGAAGTAGGGAAGGGACAATGTAGGGAAGCCACAAGAGTTCATTTTCTCATATATTTTTCTGACTGCTCTTTTGGCTTAGTGATTTTAGTTGTCCTCGATCTCTTATATTTTTCATGGGTCAAAAGGGGCTTTATTTGGGGGACTTTTAGTTCATCCCATTTTTGAAAGCAGCAGGCATGTCTTCATAAAACAATGATTAAAAGTCATTAATAATCAAAGTTAATACACCTAAGGCCTTTGGAAATCTTTTTAAATTTGGTGACACAGAAATGTTAAGATACAACCCTCTACTTATGGTTTATTTCTTCACAATAGCAAATTGACAGGATATCGTGAAACAAATGTGTTTGGAGAGCGGTAGCCTACGCTAGGTGCCTTAGCCTGGGAAACGAACGAATGAAAATTATAGAAACGAGCATCATTAGGGGGGTCAAATATACACTTGGAAAACAAGCTATTAATATATTCATTTATATATATTATATTATAGTTATAAACTCACTCTGCGGATTTACCTCCAGAGGACTTGGCTGCAGGCTCGAAAAGATCTTAGAACAGAATACGAAGGGCCAGACAGACGACCGGATATCGTGTTGTCTCTTCTTGTGATTTTCGGCAGCTGTGCGCCAGTCGGTGCATTGCTGACTTTCACTGGTGGTCAATTACTGCACCTAATGTCCCACTCAGGCCCAGTTCCTTACCCACACTGCACCTACGCCCTCCTTTGAAGTGATTATTTGTGTTGAAGTGCGCGCCAAGGGTTTTGAGTGCGCAGGTTGCTAGCGTGCACAAATGGTGGAATTGGGACATTGCACACTGAGTGCAGTTACGTCATGACTCGTAAGAGGATGGTCATTTTCGACCTAATTTATAAAATTTAAGGTTATTTTGTCTGACCCTTTGGGATAACAATATGGATTGCTTCCCACCGTTATAATACATGTTAATTTTAGTTGTTTTAATTAGAGATAGCGTATAATTTTAAGTTAAATGTGGGGTAACTAACTATCTGGTCAGTTTTTATACATTCTAAGATATCTGTACTAAGTGTAAGTTTAATTGAATGTTATATAAACGCTTGCTTTAAAAAGTAATTAAATTATTAACAACACATGTCCGTAATTCTTCATCAGAGTTTATGCTTCTTTCCAAGTAACATAGCAAAACTTATTTTTACACAAATAACTGAATATATATTTCAAAATTGTATATTTAATTGCTTTTTCCCGTCGTTTTGGTGTGACCGCAAAGAATATGGGCAATATCTTTGCCAGAGTGTGCATAGATGCCAGGGAATCTTTATATTTAACTGGCTAGGGTATTACTAGCTTGTAGCTGAATAACCCACGTGCTCAGGGGATTCTCGCGGTACTGCAGACCTGAACCAGACTAAATTCACGTGGGCTTACCCTGAATTTTTCCATAGAACTCAATGCATATTAAAACAGCTCAACCTCAGCTGACAGAGAACCTACAGCTATCATAAAGATCGGATTTTGGGGGGATTTTAGTAATCCCTTGTCATCCTGAAACTTTTTTTCTTTTTAAACTCCTTCGGTTTTGTATAATCCACACTTTTAGTGCCACAAACTCTGCTCGTCTGGCTCTCACTCTAACTCCCGCGCTGATGAACTGCTCTGATTGGTCAAGCGCGGCCATGCCCCTCTGTGCAGTGCGTGAGAGCCCGGTGTGTGACCACACACACGCGTGTTTGGCGGAAACGCATGGAGGGAGGCAAGAGGGCGGAATGAGCGGGTTGCGACCTAAGGGTTGACAGAGATCACGGAATATAAGTCCAATGTTGAACTTACGAAGGATGAACTAGTCCAACGGTTGAGGAATGAGACATGAATTCACTCAGATAAGTTTTGATAGTGTGCGAAGGAGGACAACTTGCGTCTTTACGCACATTGGCATATGGACTAACCCCGAACAGGTTAGCTTAAATGAGAATGATTACAGTGAGACCACATCAAAACAGTGTAGAGGAAGACGAATGGCTGATATGGAACAATATCCTGAAGGCACTTGACCTATGGAGAACCACTCGAAGGAGCCCCTAAACAGTCCAACCCAAAAGAATTAAATGGAGGACCGCGACAAAGAAGAAGATTGGAGAGAGCAGCACCTCACGGTGGTGTTCCAATCAATTAATGTAAGTTTGATGGTTTGGATGGCATGGCTGGGGATCATTGTGAATACGTGTGGATGGAGTAAAGGCAGACCTAAACAAAATTTGACGTTCTGGAAAAAAGCTGGAAGGGTTTGAAAACAAGTATTGTGGAGTTTTGTCATTCTGATAAAGGAAATAACAAGATTCACATAGTCGAGTTCAAGATAATGTAAAGGGGCTCACTGAAGAAACAAGAAACTTAGGAGAGCCAATGCGTGGAAAGTGCCAGATACAAAGGAGATGGGATCTGAGGCTTTTGTGGGGTTTCCAGAGAAAGACGAGGAGAACACCAGAGTAGGTGGTCATTGGAATCCGCACCCGTGTAACAGTTCATCTGTTGACCAAGCTCCGGGTAACTGTGGATTATAGTACACTCGTTTGGAAGAAGAGGGCAGTGAACAACACATGCCGAGACCATCATTATACAGTTTGCCATGCGCATTGTGAGAGATGAGATATGGGAAGAAGTTCAAAGGAAGCTCGGATTTGCAAAGAAATGAAGATCACTTTTAAAGAGGACTTCTCACCAAAGAGGATCGTTGAGGCAAGAGCAAGGCTTTTTTTTGTTTGGCCCCCCACACAAGTACAAGAAGCCAGGACGTGCCGGGAGGAAGGCGTACCTGTAGGGAGGGGTTTGCACTCATTGATGGTAGAAGGAGTGGAGCCCTGAGACAACGCGACAAACAGGACTGAAAAAGTCTGGTAATGCCTGAATGGATCACTCCTTAGGTTTAAAAAAAAAAAAAAAAAAAGTTTAAGATAGTAAGTAAATAATTGTTGTATGTTGAAAGTTTTATATTTGGAGATGAGTGGAAGGGAGACCAGAGGAGGCTATTGCAGTAATCGAGTCTGGAGGTGATGAAGTGTAGCAGGTTTTGGCTTAGTACTTGTGTGTGTAACAGGCAGTATATTGGCAACACATTTGGATTGTAACTAAGTCCTCTGAGATGACTGCTGTTGTGATTAAGGGCTATAGAAGAATAGATTTAATTGAATTGAATTGAACTTTAGTAGACCACTAATAGTGCTTTTTACACACTGTCCCTTTAAATTCTATGAACATCACAAACAAAAACATTTAAAACCATGTAGAGCGGGAACGTCTTTAATCAACATCCACATATAAAAAAAGTTACATTTGTACAGCACATTTACAACAACACCAGCTATCCAAAGCTGGGGTTACAAACAAAAGAAGATTGTTATATTCTTGTGCATTATAGATAGATAGTACAATATTTCATCTATAGTTGCTGTTGTACAATAAAAGCTACAATTTGCAGTTTTGCCGTTGCATTATCCACTTTAGTCCAATTGTATTTCAAAACACCCTAGATCAGAAATGGGCAAACTTTTCCTCCTGAGGGCCACATTGGAAATTAGGTCCGGATCCCAACAGCCGTTTGATATACCAATGTTTTTCTCAGGCTTAATTTTAAAACATAAATGTATGGTTTGTAAACTTCATATGAATAAAATAGCTCTGCACACAGCACAGAGGGGGATTGTATGATGTTTAAACTGAAATTACCCCATTGCAGGGTGAATAAATGTTCTTAATCCTAAATTCTTTTGATCTTAATCTTAATCTATATACATTGAGAAGGGCTCAGGGGCCTGATAGAAGCATCCAAAGGGCCGCATCTGTCCCACGGGCCGGGGTTTGCCCACCACTGCCCTAGATGTTGTTGTGATCTAGGCCTATACAAAAAAAAACGTAAATTGAATCAGCTCTCAATGGCGCTGTCAACATTTTCAGATAAATGTTCCGTACGAATTAACATCTTGCTTGAAATCAAGATTTTAAAGCAGATCTTGGAATTACATTTACATCTGCCATAAACCATGTGCAAAATTATCATTTTAGGTGACGAAGGATCTGGAAAAGCGTGTGATAAAGTGGTTTGATTTTCTTTGGACAAATAAAAAAGCTGTGGATGAGAGAGAAGTCCTCAAATATCTGCCGGACAAACTGAGAGCGGAGATCGCAATCAACGTTCATCTGGACACGCTCAAGAAGGTAACAGAACATTTAAGGACATTTATGGACATTGGTAATCCGCTTTCTATGGACCAATGGCTGCTATGTGTTTGTTACCATTTGAGTTTGATTGTTTGATCTGTATTGGCAAATTGAGAACTTTGTTTAGTCCCCCGAGATGACAGCTGTTGGGATTTAGGGCTATGCAAAAATATATTGAACTGACCAGGACTGGACCAGGACTGTATCTGACGTCACCCATATATTTGCCATAATGGGGAAGGATCTGATGAGAGGATTTTATTAAATTCATGATTAGAGCTAGGTCAAAGTTCACCAAAGCTTAACTTTAGCGGAATCTCCCATCGAAAAGAGTTTGTAATTCAGTATATAATGTTAAAAATGTATTAGTAGTAGTTTTAGTTGTAGTAATAGTTCTTTTTGTCCTTTTCTTTGCGTCTTTAGGTGCGGATCTTTGCGGACTGCGAGGCTGGTCTCCTGGTGGAGCTGGTGCTGAAGCTGCAGCCTCAGGTCTTCAGCCCCGGAGACTACATCTGTAAGAAGGGCGACATCGGCAGAGAAATGTACATCATCAAAGAGGGGAAACTCGCTGTGGTCGCAGACGATGGCGTTACGCAGTTTGTGGTCCTGTCCGAGGGAAGTTACTTTGGCGAAATCAGCATCCTCGCCATAAAAGGTGACACCTGGTTTAATGCAGATTTTAGTTCTATATACAACATTTAAAACATCTTTGCTGGCCAAGAGCTTCAGAAGTAGTTTATTTAAAAGTACAGAATATATTTACATTATGTTTAAATGAGCACGGTGGCTGAGTGGCTGGAACATGCGCTTCTCAGCAAGAAGGTCCTGGGTTTGAATCCCGGTCGGAACAGGGCCTTTCTGAGTGGAGTTTGCATGTTCTCCCCGTGTCTACGTAGGTTTCCTCCGGGAGCTCCGATTTCCTCCGGGAGCTCCGATTACCCTACCACTAAAAACATGCACAATAGGTATGAATGTAAATGAGTGAGTGAATGGATGGTGTTGATTGGGGGCTTTGCTGCGCCAGAGTGTGGAGTGATTGGAACAATAAATGAACTCTGAACATTGTGAAGCGCTTTGGGTGACCATGGTCTGTAAAATGTACTATATAAACACTACTTGCTTAATTACTTTAAAGATAAAGATGGAGCACAGAGTAAAGCAAGATATATTTTCTTAGTGACACAATTTTCCATAATTTAGGTTTCAAAGGGACAATAGGTGTTGTAGCAGTTTTCACAGTTGGAAAAAGCAGAGAGCAAATGTCCTGGTGTTTATTTTCAGTTTTACAGAGTGTTTTAAACAAAAAACAAATATAAATTTACCTAGTCCAAACAAAACTGATGTAGCTGAGGTTCATCTTGACCTTAAAGATCTGATCCATTGAATATTGGATCCCAAGTCCAATTGGTAATTGGGTACTATTTCACTGCCACCACTATTATTATTTACTTTATTCATTTTTTTTTTTTTCTGTTCTGAATCTGTAATGTACTAATGATTTGGCACCCAAAAAATAAATCCTCTGATCACCAACTTGAAGAGTAATGTTGTCATGTAAAGAGACACTTCTTCTTGTCATAGTTTTTTTTCTGTAAAAGAAAAAACTGTTCTTTATAAATATCTATGATGGAGCTGAAGTTAGCTAAATGACAAATATCCATCTCATGAGCGTTAATAATGCCAACTAGTAATTAGTCGTTCATTAATTGGCTGAGCTGAAGTTGGCTGGATGACACTGTAAAGATGTTTATGATCTCAAAGGGCCACAACTCATGTTTTGTTATTTGAAGCTTTAATGGACTTCTTTGTTTCATGTTTTTGCAGGAAGTAAAGCTGGTAACAGGAGAACAGCAAACATCCGCAGTATCGGCTACTCCGACCTCTTCTGCCTTTCCAAAGACGACCTGATGGAGGCGCTCACTGAGTATCCAGACGCCAAAGCTCTGCTGGAGGAAAAGGGGCGCCAGATCCTCATGAAGGACGGACTGCTGGACCTGGAGGTATGGGGCATTTAAATAAAAATCGACCAAATAGCAGGTCCTTGAGTGCCGTCATTGGTCTTTAGCACAGATCTGACTGTAATCCTCTGTGTGTCCTGCAGGTGGCAGCACAGGGCCCAGACCCAAAGGAGATGGAGGACAAGGTGGACAGAATGGCTTTGACTCTAGACACGCTGCAGACGCGGTTTGCCCGACTCTTCGCACAGTCAGACGCCACGCACAGCAAACTCAAACACCGCGTCAACAAACTGGAGAAGAAACTTGCCCCACCGCCTCCACCCACCCCCGAGAGCCAGCAGCCAATCAGGGACGAGGAGGCGGGGAAGTGAGGCCACCTGCCAATCAACGAGAAGGATGAAAATATGGACCCAAATCATGGATTTACCAGAAAAGGACTGAAGAATAACACAAAAGATTCTAGGTGCACACAATTCATGGGCTTCAGCTTCATGCGTCATGCAGCAATTTTCTGACCTTTTAAATCTAAGTCTAAATGTGTAATATTTTATTTTCAAATAATGACCACAATTGCAACTAGCGCAGTTGTCAACTAAAAAACACAGAAAGAACATCGATTTAATGAAAAACAACTATTTAGGCAAAAAAACCCACAGAAATAGTTTAAAATGATCAAACATATGAATTGAGTTTGGCTTTGATAATCACTGCTCCTTAAGCACATTATAGCCGTTGTCTATGAGGGCTTTACAAAATTGTCAATTTCTCAACAACTGATGAGAGGATTAATCATTTAGAAGCAACGTTCCAAAGTATTATAACAACAAAGCATAACAACATCTATTGTGACAAATATTGATTGAACTAGAACTGTAGAATCGACATGCTACGTAAAACTCAATGTAAAAAGAAATGTCTGTAAATGCTGCAATGAGATAGACTAAAGACATAGTATTATGTACTGTATTGTGAGAACGATTGGATGCATAACTGTAATGTGGTAAATTTGTTCAAACCAGTGTCGGAGTAAGGCCAATATTTTTCTACTGGACTGTAAACTTGTAAATGGGAACTGTTTATAGTTTTAACAGTTGAGTATGATAGACTTTAAATTAAATTTTTGTATAAAAAAGAAACTCTCACTATTTTATTTAATAATCAAACCTGAATGATGCATTGTGTATTTCATGTATTCCTAAAATAGTTTATTTACATGCTATCGTTCATACAACTGTTATCAAGCTAATATATTAAAATAAGCAATGTGTTTTTATAATGATTTTCATTTTGTGTCATGTTTGTTGTAGTTTGTTTATTTTCAATTGTTGGCCACATTCTTCACATTTACAGTCTATGGCCCCGTCCCAATACTCGCACTTCCACCCTCGCGCCCCTCATTTGCGCGTTCCGATAAAGGGTGCAAGTGCGTAGGGTGTCCCAATTCTCCAGGGAGGTCTTTAGCCCCGCCCCCTTTGCGCCCCTGATCCACACTTCGAAGGAGCCTGGATCTATGCGCACTCTGGCGAAGGATATTGCCCAAAGTTCTTTGCGGTACACACCAAAACGTCCAGAAAATGCATTTCAATATAAATTTTGAAATATATATGCAGTATGTGTGTAAATAAGTTTTGCTATGTTACTTGGAAAGAAGCATAAACGTTTGATGAAGAATTACGGACATTGTGTTTTAACAATTTAATAACTTTTTAAAGCAAGCGTTTATATAACATTCAATTTAAACTTTACACTTAGTACAATAATCTTAGAATGTATAAAAACTGACCAGATAGTTAGTTACCCACATTTAACTTAAATTTATACAGCTATCTCTAATTAAAAACAACTAATATAAATGTATTTTAACGTGTGTGAAGCAATTCATTTTGTTTCCCAAAGGGTCAGACAAAGTTACCTTTAATTTTTATAAAGTTTAGGTCTGAAAATGACCATCTCTTGACGAGTCGATGACGTAACCTGCACTCAGTGTTCACTGTCCCAATTCCGCCTTTTGTGCACACTTGTAACCTGCGCACTCCAACCCTGGTGTGCACTTCGAACAAATGCACACTTCGAAGAGGTGTGTAGGGTGCAGTGTGGGTATTGGGACTGGGCCTATGACGATGACACGTATTCACTAAAGTAGAGGAATGTCTACTTTTTACTTCCAGCTTCGTCAGAATGACTAAATCCAAATTCATAAATCACACTTGCTTTCTTTCCTTTTTTCTATTTTTCTTTTAGTTTTACTGTATCTATGTTAACAAGCGGCATTTAATAATTCGTAAAATACCTTCACATTCAAACAAACAAACTTGCAGCTGTTTTCTTTAAGTAAACAATGTGTTTTTGAAAACAAGAACAAATTGTGTGTGAATTTGGACGCAACCATTGTACGCTTCCCTTTGGAACTACATGTACCATAATCCTTATTGTGTGCCTACTGCGCATGTGCAGAGCTGTGCGGCTCGCTGGAGCTGGAGGTGAGTTCATGAAATGAAGACTTATATTTAAAACTCTTCTAATTATTTGCACAGCCCAGCTTTAGATACACGGGTAGAACAACTTAAGATCAACATATTACAATGCAAATGTTTATATTTTACCTTCATTTCGAGACTGTTTTGGAAGCATTAGGGACATGGAGCTAACTGGCTAACAGGCTGAACTTGTATGAATTTGTTCCATATTTGATCATATCACAACTGTTCTATATATTTATTTTTGCACAGTAATTATCTATACCCGTGATACCAGTCTCAGTCATAAGAGCCTACTGTAAAACACATAAACGTTGCATTTGTCTAAATAATTTATAGAATAGTCTTTGTCATGTTAGTCCAGTGAATGTCCTTGCATTTGGGATGGGAGTTATGGAATCTATGTAATTCTGTGTCTTGATAATAAGGAAGGCACATTTAAGCTTCTTGCTTCAGCCTTTCCCTTTTTGAGCTTTGTTTCTTGAAATGATATGTACCCATAAAAATACATTGTACTAGTCACTACTAGAGTAGTCACTACTACTTTACTACTACTGTGTTATAGCTGCATAGACCTGTATCTATCAATCTTTCAACAAGCTTATTGATGGTTATCCTGTTTCTTTTCCTATGTCTGTTGAATATAAAAGTTTCAATTTTACTGTGTATATGATTGGCATTTAATTTTAAATTACAAAAAAAATCCACATTGCTAGTTCCCTTCTCTCAAACCAAAATAGTTTTTTTTTTTAACCTCAGCTTTTTCAGACAGAAAAGTCTGAAAATCTTAGATCATATTTATACACAGTGATTACTAAACCTTGTACAGTTTTAGGGTAACGTCACCTCTGCGACCATGGAACCAGCCTGGCGACATCACGGCCGGGGGCGTGGTCGCGGGGATGGAGGTCTGCGGCCGCGAGCTCAGCCCAAGGAGAGAGAGCGACCCGGGGCCGAGCAGGGGGGCAACAAGAAGAGCCCAGCACAAACTCCAGCCGCAGGTATTGCCGCAAACGTCAGATCTCCAAAGCAATTAGAGGGGAAAGAATCTATGAGGCAATATGCAAAGAACATAACGCCTTTTCTGGTGGAGTTGAAATGAGAGTCATTAACTGACTTTTTGGGCTGAGAAACTGGTTTAGCATTGTGTCCTTCTTTCACAGCTGCGTCCGTGGAGTCGCGTTTCGAGGAGATCAGGAAGTCAAACATTGCTGCGGCTCAGCGATTGGCCGAGAGGGGTTTTAGCTCCTCCTCTTCAGACGAAGACGATGATGAAGATGTGTCAAGTAAAGACGGAAAGAGAGGACAGATCCTGGCATCAACCTTCACCTCGTACAGCCAACAGACAGGTTCTGAACCAGATTGTTTCTGTCCAAAGTGACCTTAGAAAGTGCCTTTGACAGAACAATAATTGACACAAGAACATGGTAATAATAATAATAATCATGGGATCCTAATGGCTTTGTGGGTTGTGTTCAGGAGGGGACAGTGCTGGTCTGCAGAGGACTGGACAGTATGTGAACGAGCTGTTCCAGTCTGGAGCGTTGACCTGCCTTATCTGCATCGGCTCCGTCAAAAGAACACAACCGGTACTGCTGCCGTTGCTTTTACCTTGTATAAACAAACATTAAGCACATTTAAATATGTAGGGCAATAATTGAAAGCACCATTATAAATGTTACTAATCGCATAGCCTTACTCTGTATACGTAGTAAATGCCAAAAGTCATCACTCAGATCATTCAAATGTTGTGTCACTTATACAAATGTGATGCTGACCTGCAGGTGTGGAGCTGTGCCGGCTGCTTCTCGCACTTCCACCTCCCCTGTGTTCAGAAATGGGCTCGAGATTCAGTCTTTCTGGTGTCTTCAGTCACAGATGAGGATTTTGGACAGAAGCAACTGCCCTGGCCCTGGTACTACTGAGAATCATTTTACTCTTAAAGGGAACATGAAAGAAATGATTTCTCACAGATTTTGACATTTTTTCTCTTGTTATTTAGAGGGATTCATTACACACAAGCCATCTTTGTTTCTCTGACCAGTGTGATACGGCCACAGTTTTTACCAACCCTAACCCTCTTTTCTGAAGTATAGAAAATAAAAAAAGAATCAAAGCAGCTGATTGCTAGCTTGCTCTTTTAACGGTTTTTGTTCTGTTTTAATAGTTTCTAGAGCTGCAACTAACGATTATTTTGTAATCGATGAATCTATCGATTATTTTTACGATTAATCGAGTAATCGCTTGGCTGTGAATTGTGTAGAAAAAAAACATTTTTTCATCACAAAAAGCTAAAATGGCAACACTCGACGTATTGATGGCGTAAACTTTAAGTAAATGTTTGTAACAGGCTCTTTGTGCAAATTTTGCTATCTGATTGGATGAGACAGACAGATATTCATGAAATTATAAAAACAAAGTCGGTTTTAATCAAAAATACTACATTTTCATGTCATTTTTGCTCTGTTTGAGTCCGTGTGAACCAGAAAACGATTAATCGATTACTAAAATAGTTGTCGACTATTTCAATAATCGATTAGTCGTCGATTAATCAATTAGTTGTTTCAGCCCTAATAGTTTCTTTATGTTTCAGTCCCAAATGCAGAGCAGAGTATCCTCCCAGTGCCACTCCAAACAGGTGAGTCCTACCACCACTAGAGGGAGCTACATACCAAACTATAAAGTTTGAAAGCACTTTGTACTTTGAGTGATTTGTTTTATTTATTTGTGTTTCTTACTCACTTATATACAATAGCCATTTACAAATTTGTAATTGTATTCATTTTTTAGCGTTCACATTTTGTTATTTTGTTTGAAATGATCAAAGATTACTGTATGAAGCCACTCGTTTTAAGCTAGAGCCGGAACGAACAATTATTGTGGTAATTTGTTGTTTGTCTTTTGAGTGGCTAATATTACATTCATATCACGTACATAATGAAGTGTAGTCTTAGAATACGGCACTAATTGAACTGCACATCTGTGTTGTGTTCAGGTACATGTGTTACTGTGGGAAAGTGCAGGACCCTCCGTCAGACCCCTGGCTCGTCCCTCACTCCTGCGGCTCTGTGTGTGAGAAGAGACTGAAGCCGGACTGTGGCCACACCTGCCTGCTGCTCTGCCATCCAGGTGCATCCTAGAACTGATAAAATGTCTTGAATATTCTTGTTTAGAAAAATAAGTCATGTATCTTTTAAAATTAGAATGTGAAATACAATAATTAGAAAATATGTAGTGAACCAAGAATTAAGAGTAAACAATGCAATTGGCCTGATAACTCTTTCCACCAGTCAGAGGGGTGGAATTTGTTTTGTAATATTTCCAATTTCTTACTTACTGTAAATGCAGCCATTGAGAAATTGAAAACTAGTGGTGCTCTTAGAGAGAGGGGAAGTTCCTCATTTTTGAATGATGAAAAATACCTTCCTTCATCAAGAGAAGCGTTATTTTAGCTCCCATGCCAACAATCGGTGACTTCTGGTGCAAACCTGGGAATTACATTTAGATTGTTGTGGCCTAAATGACAAAACTATTGAATTGAAATCTTGACTGAAATATTGATGGCATTCTGCTTTTCCTAAGAAGTCCTTGTTCGTACAATCATCAATGACAGTCTATTTTGAGTGTATTTTCTAACACTTTCCAAAACTATGGCATGTTAAAAAGTAATGGATGTTCTAAAAAGCTAGAGCTGCTGTGATAATATCAATATATTTCTGCAATCTTTATTTGCTTTTGTATGGAGTCAGTTTTCCAATTAACCAATAGTTTTCGGATTGTAGGTCCGTGCCCCCCATGTCCAAAGATGGTGTCAGTGACGTGTTTGTGTGGAAAAGCCAAACCTCTGCCTCGACGCTGCAGCAATAAGGTCTGCACGGCTCTCTACGGGAATTTAACAACAACACATCGGACTTTGCCGGATCCTCAGTGTCTGTTTTTGATTCATTTTTATTAATTGTTATTCTGTTGTGTTTTCAGTCCTGGTCATGTCAGCAGGTCTGTGCTAAAGTCCTCCCCTGTAAACAGCACACCTGTTCCCAGCTCTGCCACTCCGGTAAGACCCGGCTGTCAATCACATGTCATGTGTAATCGAATTTTCAGCTTCTCCCGAGAGTATTGTTTATATCATTACCATGCAATTCATGCTTGAGGGATTTTACCCCTTCCAGATCTAATTGAAATATGCTGTAATTCATATTCAGAGTAGAATAGAATGTATTTGTCATTAACAGCACAATCAACAAAACAATGATCTCGTCAAAGATTTACTGAGAGTACAATGAAGCCTACATGGTTAGAAAAGTTCAAGATGGGATTTTTTTGGGGGATTCTGTCTCTGTGTAATCCAAATTAGTTCATGCAAACTAATGAGACGGAATTCAACCATTTGGGTATGCATAATTTAGTTTCTATCTATATTTCATGTGTGTATCAACGAAAAGTTATTTATTCTAATGCTCATTGACAGCCTCGGATAGTGTATGGAAACCATGGCAACAACTCATTATTGTGTTAACTCTTTCCTGGTAGACTGTAGTTTGAACCTTTTGGGAAACTACTGTCAGAAAAAATAGAAAGCCTACTTTTCAGGCACAAGAAAATGTTTGCAATGTAATTTGCTTCTTAGAATAGTTGTTGAAATGTTAAAAGATTATTAGGTCTGCGTTCCTGCAGAATGAGCCATGCTTCCGATACCTCAGCCATCCAGAGCCTCCCTCTTTGTTAATGGGGTTTGGCAGTTTTAACCATGTTTCATGTTTATATTTCATGTGTTGCAGAGTGCCAGCCCTGTCCCAGAGTCAGTGTGCAGAAATGTGCGTGTGGACGGGAGCGGAGAGAGAGGCCTTGTGCGGAGCCTCTGTGGAACTGTACACAGGCGAGTACTGCCCCCTACTGCCCGCGCACTGCATTAAATAACATACAGTATATGATACCTAATTGGTGTTCGTTTTAATACTTCAATAGAATCTTGAGAGTATTTATTCAGTATTTCAAGATTTCGATTGTGAAATGATCTTAAGGTTGGGATACCATTCATAAATAGTATGTGGTCTGTTTGGACCACAGCAGGATTTCTGTGGTCTTAAGTTATTAGCAAACTTCTTAACGAGTGATAGAAACAAAGTTTCAGAGTTAGGAACTAGTTGGATAGCTTTTAGTACATAGTTTAAAAGTGTTTGTGGTTTCCAAGTGATTACCTCAAGTAATGTATACCTAAGTCTATGGATATATATATATATATATATATATATATATATATATATATATATATATATATACACATTTATAGTAGCACATAGTCACATCTTGAATTTGAAATTGTTTCTGACTGTATGTTATTGTTGACTAATGACCAAAGTAATTATTGAGGTGTTTGTGTGTGTGTGTGTGTGTGTGTGTGGAAGAGGTGTCCAAAAATTTAGCATGGATGGAACTAAAACGACTTAAAAAATACGTTTGTGCATAATGAGTTTATGAATAAACACTGTGTTTAATGTGACAGGTGTGTGGTCGTCCTCTTTCCTGTGGGAATCATACCTGTGAAGAGGTGTGCCACAGTGCCCCCTGTCCTCCTTGTCCTCGTGCTGTCAACAGGACTTGCCCTTGTGGGAAAACTAGTAAGAAATCTCCTGTCAAATGCACACTTAGTATCACCCGCTGCTTTTATGAAAGAAAATATTCTTTCAACCTTGTCGTATTCACTCAAAGGTGTTTTAGAGCAATGCATACATGTTTATATTTGTTTACACCCGAGATTACATTGAATTGAACTGACCTTGGCACTTTAGTTTAATTTTTGTGCAAATATAAGTTGAACAGAGAATGACTCAACTCTGTCAGTTGTATAAGATAAAAATTATGTTGTTATTGTGCTAGATTATAATTGGCCATTTTGTTTCCCCCAAAACGGGTCAATTGTAAAGCTGTGTGTAAAAGTGCTGCTTGGGGATGTTGCAGAGAGCTCAGCGGGCTGCGCGGAGGAGGTGCTGCCCTGTGGAGACACCTGCGATCGACCTCTGACCTGCGGCAAACACAGCTGCTCCCGGAGGTGTCACCGCGGCAACTGTGACACGTGCCGACAGGTAACGCATAGCTGCAGGAAGCGGGAAGAGCAGTCCAAGTCCTCATGAAAATTCATACATTGTTTAACTTTGTATTAAAGATTTTCATATTATATGAAACTATATAATATATATAAAAACATTTAAATAAAATTACATTCTCATTTAGCATCCATCACACAAACACTACACATTCACATTAACAGTTTTGTGAAGGGGGGAACAACAAAGCATAATGGAAATGATAAAGTAATAATTCATCACCAAAGTTAGGGTCACTGTAAACAAATATTGTTTGTGTGTTGTTGTTTATCTTTTGTTTAATTATCTTGCTCATCTCCTCGCTGGCTTTTGCAGGAGGTGGAGAAGGAATGCCGCTGTGGAAAACACCGGAAGCTGATGCCGTGTCACAAAGAGTATCTCTGCGACTCCAAATGTTCCAAGACGCGCAGCTGCCAGCGCCACCAGTGCAGGCGCAAGGTACAAATGATCATTTGATTTTAAGGTCACTTTTACTCTCTACGATTCCTTTTCAGAGCAATTCAAGCATTTTATATTCTCTTACACTTGAGATTTAGTTTCTAAATCCGATAGGATGTTGATTTTACTTGAAGGCTAAACATCTGCTGCTGTCTAACAGGATCTGCGGTCTGAGCGGAGCCTGCAGGGCTCGGTTGTGACAAACCATAACCATTATTGTAGATCAATATACAGATTTCAACTGTACAAAATCTAAAAGTGCGTAGCAAGTAATCTCATGACAAAGCGTTATACAATTGTTGATGTAATTTTTATTCACGGTAGCTGTTGTGAAACTGCAGCGGTACAGGATGGCGGGTTTTTGGAGAAGACGGGAACGTGACAAAGTGAAAGGGTCAAAACAAGCTTCTGACTCTCCAAAAAACTTAATACTATAAAAATACTTTTTACACAGACTTTATAAAGGAAAAAGCAGCACCCCAAACTTCATGCTTCACTCTTCTTAGTAGTAGTTTATGAAAATAATTTGCATTCAGCCCCAGTTGTGTAAGACTTTCAAGTGGATGTCAAATAAAAAGCCTGGATTAAAACAACAGTATCCAGGATCCTTCTGAAGCCTTTGTGGGTCACTCCTGGACCATTGAGGGGTTACGTCACCTCTTCCTCCCTCTCAGCTCTTGTTGCGTTGACCTTAAAAGCGTGTGATTCTCAGAACAGTTTGCCCTTTGGTTATTTGATTATTCCATTATCGCTGTCTATGTGACATTTACACAGTCACTTCTGACTCTTCTCAGCCTCAGTCTGTCTGTGCAAACGGCCACAGTCGGACACAGACACAGAGAGACCAGGTTTAGACCAAGTTTGGAACGAGGTCTGTCCTCCTTTTGCATCTTATCTGTGTAGCTCTCAACGGAATTAAACATTTTAGAAATTGTAGGTTTAAAGCTTTAATTGACAATGCGACAATTCTTTTCGCGTACTTTAATCTAAAATGTTAGGATTATAAATATTTTTATCACAACAATGAAAACCTGAATAATAAAACATTTCAGCATACACTACGGACCAAAAGTTTGGACACACATTCTCTTTCAAAGAGTTTTTTATTTTAAAGAATTAAAAAATTAAAAATGTCTTCTTCATATCAGCCCCTTTTGCTCTGATTACTGCTTTGCACACTCTTGGCATTCTCTTGATGAGCTTCAAGAGCTAGTGACATGAAATGGTCTTCCAACAGTCTTGAAGGAGTTCCCAGAGATGTTTTGCACTTGTTGGCCCTTTCGTCTCCACTCTGTGGTCCTGCTCACCCCAAAACCATCTGGATTGGGTTCAGGTCCGGTGACTGTGGAGGCCAGGTAGTAAAAGAAAGGAAACTAATTGAATGAGAAAGTGTGTCCAAACTTACAAGAGCATCTTAAAGCGCTATATAAATGAATATTCCTTACCAATTCCATCATTCCACAGTGTTGCCCAGGAGAGTGTCCTCCCTGTGACCAGAACTGTGGCCGCTCTCTTGGCTGTAGGAACCACAAGTGCCCCTCTGTCTGCCACCAAGGTACTCCTCATCATTATCCTGCCAAAGGGTAATGTGATCACCTGTGTGTGCGTGTCTGTCTTTGTCTCTCGGCAGGATTTTTAAAATGGGGACATAGTGTAGTTTACTCGCCAGCACAACAATAAATTGTGGCTAAATATTTTCACACTTTCCCAAGTTTATTGACAACAACAATTGAAAGTAGAAAAAATTATTATTATTCACCATCCCAATTAACTCCACATCTGCGGCTCCTGGCTTGGCTCTGTCCTGCTCTGTGATTGGTCGATTGCGTTTGTCGCTTCACGTCGCTTCACCTCAGTCTTTCAGAGATGTGATCTGATTGGACGGGAGCCGCAGCTGTGAAGAGGTCTGGGGTTAAATGGATGTTTTCAGCGGAATGGAACACCGGCTGAAAGGAAAGGGTGAAATCGTCATGTACTGGCCCAGAACAATGTGTGATTTGGCTAAAAATACAAAAGCCCTGTCCAAATGCCTTTTTTTAGGGATACACCAACATTTTAGGCTGGTATTTCAGGAACTAATTTTAGTCCTACTTTCTTCAGAATTACAATCAAGAAGTAATGATCTAATGCACGGTTTATTCGCAAGGCACTTCACTTAATACACAGACCATCTTAAAGTGCTTTAAGAGAGAGAACAAAGTGACATCACAAAACTATTTAAAACATCACTCTACATTCATTTGAAGAGAATAGTAGATGGTCCGTCTTAACCTGGATTTTTCACATTGTCATTGAACATTGAGTAGAAGCTTGTCTCACAGATTTTAGCTTAACAAAACTGAAACTCTTAACTCCCTATGTTTAGTCATGGCCAGTCCCTATGCTCCTCATTGTTGACAGCAGGAGGCCAGTCCCTGTGCTACTCAATGTAACAGCAGGAGGCCAGTCCCTGTGCTTCTCAGAGTTAGTTCATATGGCACTAACATGTCACAGATGAAGTTTGGTGCATTAGTTCATGATTAAATAAATGGAACTAGAACTTCCACCCTGTGAGCGCATACCCCCCGACACAATGATTCATCTCGAAATATTATTAAAATAAAAAACATTAATGGAGTCAAAGAATCACATCTCATGATTTGATCACCCACCTGATTTCAGATCAATCCATCAGGTGGTTTTTGACCAGTTCTACACACACTGATACAGACACTCACAGGCAGCCTCTTACATCAGTAACGACAAATACTCAATGAAACGATAAAAACACACTAAAAAAGTAATTAAACTAAATGTTCATTCTAAAGTAAAATACAGAAACAAACACAATGATTCAAGTATCCAATCCCTCAGAAAAGCAGGAATAAAAGCAGGTGTAAACTTCTCTCTTGTGAATCACAGTGAATCCTTCATCACAAACTGTTTACAGCTCTGACATTTGGAGCCATTCTTCTTTCTCCTTTGTTCTGCCGCAAAAGGGCTCATTATCAAAACCAGCGCTGCGATTGGCCGATAAAGGGAGATGCCGCGTTCTGATTGGCTGCTGTGACCTTTGCGCGAGGCTCTTACAAACAGAAGGTTGACGACAGATAATGGAAACAAAACAATGATATAACGTTTATTTTTGCTGCCGCTCTGCAAATGTCACCACCGATTTGTGTTGTTCAAAGGTCCTGCGTTGTTATTACTCATACTTGAGCGCAATTTTAGCTTTTGTTCTGGGTTGAATAATGAAACTGCGGGGGCACATAAACAAAATTATTTTTTAAGGAATCAGACACATATTACGAAATCATCATCATCAAGTTTTAAATCATGTTGCAACATCAATAACTTGGAGTTTAAAGATCCATCCACAAAAAAAATCTGGAATCTGTAAATCTTTGTTTTTAAAAGTCAGAAAACCACATTTGGTCACAGTCTGAGTATCCATCATCACAGTTTGAAATCGTAGCATTTAAACAGATATTCCTTATAGTTCCTGATATTAGCCTGGATTGAGCTTTTACTACTCTTGTCTGTTTTTGTTGAGGGAACAACGTTGTAACATGGTAGAAAGCTAAAACAAAAATCATGATTTTGCATATAATTAGTATTTTCTCTTTTTACAAATCTAATCAGTTTCTTTTGTTATTGGTGCTGGCAGGTGCGTGCTACCCCTGCCCAGAGACCGTGCCGGTGAGCTGCTCCTGTAGTAAAACCGTCTTGGTGGTGCCTTGTGGGAGAGAGAAGAGCACCAAACCCCCCCGATGTAAAGAACTGTGCAGGTGAGAGTGGGGACTGGGGCGGGGGACTGGGGCGGAGGACTGAGGGACGAGTGACCGGGGCGGTGGACTGAGGCGGGGGGACTGAGGGGGGAGTCTAATCACCACTATAAAATGTATGAATATTTTAACACATTCAAATAAGCCAAATCTTAATGATACAATTACTAATAACTTTACATTTTCTACGTAGTCTTTGTGAAAAAATAACTACTGTGGCCACAACCGTACACTGGACCCTCTGACCACCACCGATCACCCACGCACGCCCCAGATTCACACATTCAGACAGCCTCCTACTCTCACATCGACAAGCAATACGGCCACGAAGAATCCTAGGAACAGCCATCAGTATTAGTTCCAGGACTGTAGCAGTGTTCTCTCTCTCGTTACACCCATGATTATCTGGCCTCTTGTCTGTCAGGCGCCCCCCAGAGTGTCACCATCCGTCACTCCAGTCGCACCGCTGTCACCCTGGTCCCTGTCCGCCCTGCACTCTGCCCTGCGACCGCGCTCTGAGAGGCTGTGACCACCACTGCCCCAGGCCCTGCCACGACCGCGTCCTGGTCCAGTCACAGCAGGTAAACACTCGGGACAAGACTAGCTCCATGAGAATGAGATTTTGGATGGAGAAAATGTCTTGCTGACTGTTCCCTTTTCTACTAGACATTTGCTCTTAAAACATGTTTGGTTCTATCTCTAGCTTTCACATGTATTTTTGGCCCGTGTCACATCAGCTTTTTCAGACAGATCACTCAGCCAATCAGCTCTTAGTCTGAAGTGTTAATAGTTACTCACAGAGCTCTTTCTGACAAATGCAAAAGATTCAAAGTAACCACTAACCAAATCTAATCAACTTTTTCTCTATATAAACAACGTAAAAACAATCAGCGCTGAAATCATTGAAATCATATCATTGACTTAATATTGTTTGAGTTTCACGAGTTGACTAATACGCAAAAATACTGAGATTGCATTTGGTCGATTCTTTAAGGTGCAGTTGGCTGGACCCTGGGAGCAGCCGTCTAAGCCTGCCTTTGAGAAGAAGGCTCTGCCCTGCGCTCCCTGTCAGGTCCCCATCCCAACGTGAGTATGGACCTGTTCACCAAATACTTTTCAATGAACAATTGTCTATTTCTGATGTCTACTGTTCAAACTATGATTCCATTCTTTTTTTATTTTCAGTGAAGGCCACCAGTTTATGTGCACATTGTGTTTTCCGTCGATAAGCGTGTTGTAATTGGCGGCACGGTGGCTGAGTGGATAGCACTCTCGCCTCTCAGCAAGAAGGTCCTGGGTTCGGGTCCGGTTTCCCCTACCACTAAAAATATGTACAATAGGTCTGGCATGCGCCTCCTGTACTGGCAACCCCGCTTCCATCTCTGTGTGGAGTGAGAGACAAGTGCTCAATAATAATAACAATTGTAAACCGCTTTGTGACTCTGGTCTGTGAAAGGCGGTGTATAAATAAAGATTACTTACTTACTTACTTAATTGCAAATATTCAGACATTCAAGTAGAGCATTTAAACTCATGTCAAAATGTGCAAAGAAATACCCTGTGAGTCATTCTACGCCTCTTTGGGCTCGAGTATGTCATGTTTGTCAAAAGTGTAAATCATTTGACAGAAAGTTACTTCCTCCCTGTTTGAGAATCAGGGTCCCCAGCTTTAATCCTGCTGCTGTACTGGCCATAATCTTTCCTTTCTCACTACTCACGTCCTTTTTCTTATGAAAGAAAGGGTGTTTTGGATCTGTGGGTCTTTCGTTTAACTCACAGTGACACCGCTGCTCCTCTGGAATCTGTCTAATCCTCAGCTCCCACAGTTATGGAGAACATGGAAATATCATGAATGGGATTTTATTATAGTCAAATTACCTGACCTGGGCAAGCTTTGGGAATGTGGATTATCTTGTGGAATGAAAGAACACAGACGGGACTGAAATGTTTTATCAAATTAGTCAAATTATTCACAAAAAGCAGAGACCATATATTGATTGCATTGTAAAGAAAATGCAGACAGTTAAAGAAGGGTCCAAGGCAGACTGCAGCAGTAGATAAAAGTTAAATTTACCTGGACATGGCTTCAATACGTTTCGACTGGAAGCGTGTCTTTGTCAGGTCAATTATGAAAACGATTGCTCGTGCTGTTATCTCTTTGGCGAACCATAAAATGAATCTCTCCGTAGAAATAAATTCAGATTTCCTTGTTTTTCTGTGTTTTGACAAGTGCGGCCTGCATGTTTTCCCTATAATGGTTTGATTCCCTCTTGCGCTCGTGACCGCATCGTGCCTCATGCGTGAGTTTATTTGTGGTGGGACTGAACACGTGATGGAAGACGCAGGTTTGTGTCTACAGCTGGTTCCTGCGTCACGCCACCAACGGGACGTCCCAACGCTTCACCCAAATTCAACAACGGGAACTAAGCAAATGCCCCTTTATGTAACCGCCGCACAGTTGTGTAATATTAACAAACCGGGGATCACACTGGGACTGTGTGCAAACGTCATGGAATCTCACTAAATACAAAATTCATGAACGCGAAATGCTTTACGAGACATTAAATCTGGGAGTCCCAACTTTCAAAGCACAACAAAAAGTGACGAATCCAATCCACCTAGTTAAAGCAAAGGCCTCTGTTACTGACTTTGAGCAGTTTACTTTCTCGTCACCTGTACATTTTTGCTGACAGGTTTGCGGGAGTTTACTGAGAATGCGCTTACTAATGACACCATTTATCCCTTTTATTTTCAGGTCATGTTTTGGAGGCCATGAGGTCAGTTTGAATGAATGTTTTTGTTTTCTGTCCCTGTCTCTGTTTTCTTTTATTACACCTCCTCCTTCCACCCGAAAAACAATTAATCAAGAATAATCCCATGTTCAACAACTAGGCTCACTGTCAACATTTGTTTTTGGCTCCGCTCCATTCACTCAAATATCAAGAACTTCTGGCATAAACATGTCGCATTTCTCCAGTTCAAATGACTGTGCCATGTTAGATTTTTAGGACAGTTTATATAAATAAACGTTACTGAAAATGCACCAGAAATGTCCACAAGGATATTTGACTTTTGTTGTCCCCGGACTAAACAAAATTAACCAAAAGCCATATTGATTAGAAAACAAAAGATCAAAAAGTCTGTCAGTAAAAAAGGCTACAAGGCTCACTGGATCAGTTGTAAATACCTGGTTTACATGTCTCAGGAGCTCAACAAGAACCTAAGCAGTCAAAATGAGTCATTATAAATATGATTTCCCACCAATAAACAATATTCATTATACATGTTGGTCAATATCTGTTTTGTTTTTTAACCCCCCCAAAAATTATAAGATAAGATAGACACACACAGGAGAAATGTACATGTCACATTTGGCATGGATAGAATCACTCAGATTTGTGCAAAAGACAAGTGCAAGTGTGCAAACATGTTAAAGGCAAAAAACTATATAATATAATGTTTTTTGTCCCAACAGAAAGTGTAAAAAAATTCTTTTAGACCTTTCAGTCTAAAAATTTGAGAGTGGCCAAGCTAGTGATAGAACCAAGCTGTTTTGGAGTGAGAAACGAGTTAGAAGGATTACTTAGTTTCATTATTTGAAATGTGAAAGTCAGGTACCCTATCTTTAAACGCTTGTGGTCCTCAGGTGAGTCCTGTGCCGTGTCACCGCCGCGGCCCGTTCTCCTGCGGACGGCAGTGTGGATGCCCTCTGACCTGCACCAACCACAGCTGCAGCCGCCCCTGCCACCCGGTCGCCCCCGGCAACAAGGTAAGCTTTTCCCTTATGTAACCGTCGTTATTTCAATGATCATGACCTTTATCTTGACGTGTTCCTAAAATAAATACATTTCCCTAAGAAGACACATTCTAACTTAAAGTGATAGTCTGTAACTCTAAATGAATTACGCATGGCGCCGGAAAGATGGCGCCGTGGCAAGAGCTCTGGTGTGTGTCGTCTGGCGCACACCGGGGTAGTCTTGCACAGTTTTCCAATGTGGTTTTACTGCAAATGGCAAATAAATGAATCTGAATCTGAATCTGAAATTTTAGGAAATGTGTTAAATTGACCTCCTGGCCTTAAATGTTGATAGAAAATAAGTCCTTTTATTAATTCTAATATTACAGGTAAGTCCCGCCTTCCCTTCTCTTAGCTATAGTTCAGAATCCACCATGCTGTCGAGGTTAACCAATCGAGTCATGCCAAGGGCTGTCAATCATTGCGCTGATGCTCGTAGCTGCTCATGCTCAGTAGTTTGTTTTCGCGGAGCCTCCGAATCAAGCCTCTATTAGGCTCTGGAACTACATGAAAACTGAACAAAGAATTCTGAACATCCGCGCTGAGTTACCCATTTATATACTGAACCTATATCCATAATCATTTATATACTGAACCTATACACTGTATCCATAATGAGATCCTCTGCAGATCTGTCCTATAATGTTCAATTCATGATAATAGCTTGTTCCGGGTTTGCAGCGATCGCTTTTTTTGTACATAAAAAAAATATTTTTTTCATTAAATTGTTAACAAATAATTCTGAAAACCTCCGTGCATGTGTATTAATAATGTATATGTATAATGTGTTCTCTGATTAACATTTAAAAGTGTTACGGAAACTTATATGTAGACCAATCAGAAAGGAAGGGGGAGGGAGCCTGCGTCGTTTTTTTCAAATCAAGTACCTCTCTGTCTTTTTCTGACAAACTCCAGACAATCACTTTAACTCGTTTTGCCAATAGAACCTACAAGTCAGCATAAAGGGGAAGATATCAATACTGAGATTTGAAATGTTTATGTTGTAATGATGTGATAAACCCACTGATGTCATATATTATCCCTATAACAGACAGAAGTGTGTTGGTTCTAATGCATTTTAGAATCTGCATGGCATCAGATCTTCACTCTTGTATACTGTGATGTTTGGCTCAGTCTTTGACCCTTTCTGTTTGTTGATCCAGTGTGAGGAGTGCGAGTTGGGCTGCCTGAAGCCACGGCCCCTGGGCTGCCCTCACTCCTGCTCCAAGCCCTGTCACAGCGGCCCCTGTCCCCCCTGCCCCCAGACCCTCCGCCAGCGCGTGCCACTGCAAGATCAGCTGCCTCTACATCGCTTGCACGTCAGTATCAGCACGCTGTAAACACAGACTGTAGCTCCATCTGCTTGTATTTAACTGTTTAAAATACAAAGTGATCTTTGGAGCATCTGTCCTGTTATTAAAAGGCCTGTACCAAATGTGTCATAAATTCTGCAAAAACACAATATGTTCACAATCTGCTTCAGTCCAAGCTTGTTCCTTTTACCTTCTGGTACTTTCAAAATCCTATCTGTTACATTGAGAAGTTTCTTGCACTATTATAAGAGACCAAAGTGAGCTGGAGCGTGACAAAAGCTTGTTAGAGCTAATCTGAGTTTCCACATTAAACTGGAGAGACTTTATGCCAAATTTGAAACACCTTTTTGTTGCACAACAATTTTAAGATTGTGCTAGACTTCATAACCTCGGAACGTCCGTCTCTCACAGTATGACAGGAAATTAAACATGCTGGATATGGGATCACTGAAATACAGCACCTGGAGCTGAGCGACCTGTGATATGTCCTCCAAACCCATTTCCAACCCATAACTAAATATTTGTCTTTCTGTAGGATTTCTCTTAAAATGTTTTCTTTGTGACGTTCTCTGTTCTTTTGTCTTTCAGAGAGTGGACTGCAGCCGACGACGGGACAAAGACCAAACTCTGCTCCTGCAACAACCAGTGTCCCAAACAGGTATTGACCATCGCTCAAACCGATGACACTATAGAGACACATTTAAAACTTAACGGTTGGTATTCTAATGCTGATATGTTTTGATATTGAATTAGCTAAATTACGCCCATGCCAAGTAAGCCAAATATGTCAAACTTCTTAACGTGGTAAAATGCTAATAACACTACTTCAATATTGATGAATAAAGACACTATTATAGAATTGTACAGATTTCTAATTTTAGTCCTACTACATGTTCAATATAAAATCATAGAAGTCACTGTGTGCTTTTAAACTACTACTCATGTAAATCCTAATCCTAATCATAATTGTGTTGTGTTTTGACCCTAATGATCAATCCATCAGGTGGTTTTTGACCAGTTCTACACACACTGATACAGACACTCACAGGCAGCCTCTTACATCAGTAACGACAAATACTCAATGAAACGATAAAAACACACTAAAAAAGTAATTAAACTAAATGTTCATTCTAAAGTAAAATACAGAAACAAACACAATGATTCAAGTATCCAATCCCTCAGAAAAGCAGGAATAAAAGCAGGTGTAAACTTCTCTCTTGTGAATCACAGTGAATCCTTCATCACAAACTGTTTACAGCTCTGACATTTGGAGCCATTCTTCTTTCTCCTTTGTTCTGCCGCAAAAGGGCTCATTATCAAAACCAGCGCTGCGATTGGCCGATAAAGGGAGATGCCGCGTTCTGATTGGCTGCTGTGACCTTTGCGCGAGGCTCTTACAAACAGAAGGTTGACGACAGATAATGGAAACAAAACAATGATATAACGTTTATTTTGCTGCCGCTCTGCAAATGTCACCACCGATTTGTGTTGTTCAAAGGTCCTGCGTTGTTATTACTCATACTTGAGCGCAATTTTAGCTTTTGTTCTGGGTTGAATAATGAAACTGCGGGGGCACATAAACAAAATTATTTTTTAAGGAATCAGACACATATTACGAAATCATCATCATCAAGTTTTAAATCATGTTGCAACATCAATAACTTGGAGTTTAAAGATCCATCCACAAAAAAAATCTGGAATCTGTAAATCTTTGTTTTTAAAAGTCAGAAAACCACATTTGGTCACAGTCTGAGTATCCATCATCACAGTTTGAAATCGTAGCATTTAAACAGATATTCCTTATAGTTCCTGATATTAGCCTGGATTGAGCTTTTACTACTCTTGTCTGTTTTTGTTGAGGGAACAACGTTGTAACATGGTAGAAAGCTAAAACAAAAATCATGATTTTGCATATAATTAGTATTTTCTCTTTTTACAAATCTAATCAGTTTCTTTTGTTATTGGTGCTGGCAGGTGCGTGCTACCCCTGCCCAGAGACCGTGCCGGTGAGCTGCTCCTGTAGTAAAACCGTCTTGGTGGTGCCTTGTGGGAGAGAGAAGAGCACCAAACCCCCCCGATGTAAAGAACTGTGCAGGTGAGAGTGGGGACTGGGGCGGGGGACTGGGGCGGGGGACTGGGGACTGGGGCGGGGGACTGAGGACTGGGGCGGAGGACTGAGGCGAGTGACCGGGGCGGTGGACTGAGGCGGGGGACTGAGGGAGTCTAATCACCACTATAAAATGTATGAATATTTTAACACATTCAAATAAGCCAAATCTTAATGATACAATTACTAATAACTTTACATTTTCTACGTAGTCTTTGTGAAAAAATAACTACTGTGGCCACAACCGTACACTGGACCCTCTGACCACAACCGATCACCCACGCACGCCCCAGATTCACACATTCAGACAGCCTCCTACTCTCACATCGACAAGCAATACGGCCACGAAGAATCCTAGGAACAGCCATCAGTATTAGTTCCAGGACTGTAGCAGTGTTCTCTCTCTCGTTACACCCATGATCATCTGGCCTCTTGTCTGTCAGGCGCCCCCCAGAGTGTCACCACCCGTCACTCCAGTCGCACCGCTGTCACCCTGGTCCCTGTCCGCCCTGCACTCTGCCCTGCGACCGCGCTCTGAGAGGCTGTGACCACCACTGCCCCAGGCCCTGCCACGACCGTGTCCTGGTCCAGTCACAGCAGGTAAACACTCGGGACAAGACTAGCTCCATGAGAATGAGATTTTGGATGGAGAAAATGTCTTGCTGACTGTTCCCTTTTCTACTAGACATTTGCTCTTAAAACATGTTTGGTTCTATCTCTAGCTTTCACATGTATTTTTGGCCTGTGTCACATCAGCTTTTTCAGACAGATCACTCAGCCAATCAGCTCTTAGTCCGAAGTGTTAATAGTTACTCACAGAGCTCTTTCTGACAAATGCAAAAGATTCAAAGTAACCACTAACCAAATCTAATCAACTTTTTCTCTATATAAACAACGTAAAAACAATCAGCGCTGAAATCATTGAAATCATATCATTGACTTAATATTGTTTGAGTTTCACGAGTTGACTAATACGCAAAAATACTGAGATTGCATTTGGTCGATTCTTTAAGGTGCAGTTGGCTGGACCCTGGGAGCAGCCGTCTAAGCCTGCCTTTGAGAAGAAGGCTCTGCCCTGCGCTCCCTGTCAGGTCCCCATCCCAACGTGAGTATGGACCTGTTCACCAAATACTTTTCAATGAACAATTGTCTATTTCTGATGTCTACTGTTCAAACTATGATTCCATTCTTTTTTTATTTTCAGTGAAGGCCACCAGTTTATGTGCACATTGTGTTTTCCGTCGTTAAGCGTGTTGTAATTGGCGGCACGGTGGCTGAGTGGATAGCACTCTCGCCTCTCAGCAAGAAGGTCCTGGGTTCAAATCCCGGTCGGACCAGGGCCTTTCTGAGTGGAGTTTGCATGTTCTCCCCGTGTCTGCGTAGGTTTCTTCCGGGTACTCCGGTTTCCCCTACCACTAAAAATATGTACAATAGGTCTGGCATGCGCCTCCTGTACTGGCGACCCCGCTTCCATCTCTGTGTGGAGTGAGAGGACAAGTGCTCAAAAATAATGACAATTGTAAACCGCTTTGTGACTCTGGTCTGTGAAAGGCGGTATATAAATAAAGATTACTTACTTACTTACTTAATTGCAAATATTCAGACATTCGAGTAGAGCATTTAAACTCATGTCAAAATGTGCAAAGAAATACCCTGTGAGTCATTCTACGCCTCTTTGGGCTTGAGTGCTGTAGGGTTTCATGTATGTCAAAAGTGTAAATCATTTGACAGAAAGTTACTTCCTCCCTGTTTGAGAATCAGGGTCCCCAGCTTTAATCCTGCTGCTGTACTGGCCATAATCTTTCCTTTCTCACTACTCACGTCCTTTTTCTTATGAAAGAAAGGGTGTTTTGGATCTGTGGGTCTTTCGTTTAACTCACAGTGACACCGCTGCTCCTCTGGAATCTGTCTAATCCTCAGCTCCCACAGTTATGGAGAACATGGAAATATCATAAATTGGATTTTATTATAGTCAAATTACCTGACCTGGGCAAGCTTTGGGAATGTGGATTATCTTGTGGAATGAAAGGACACAGACGGGGCTGAAATGTTTTATCAAATTAGTCAAATTATTTACAAAAAGCAGAGACCATATATTGATTGCATTGTAAAGAAAATGCAGACAGTTAAAGAAGGGTCCAAGGCAGACTGCAGCAGTAGATAAAAGTTAAATTTACCTGGACATGGCTTCAATACGTTTCGACTGGAAGCGTGTCTTTGTCAGGTCAATTATGAAAAAGATTGCTCGTGCTGTTATCTCTTTGGCGAACCATAAAATGAATCTCTCCGTAGAAATAAATTCAGATTTCCTTGTTTTTCTGTGTTTTGACAAGTGCGGCCTGCATGTTTTCCCTATAATGGTTTGATTCCCTCTTGCGCTCGTGACCGCATCGTGCCTCATGCGTGAGTTTATTTGTGGTGGGACTGAACACGTGATGGAAGACGCAGGTTTGTGTCTACAGCTGGTTCCTGCGTCACGCCACCAACGGGACGTCCCAACGCTTCACCCAAATTCAACAACGGGAACTAAGCAAATGCCCCTTTATGTAACCGCCGCACAGTTGTGTAATATTAACAAACCGGGGATCACACTGGGACTGTGTGCAAACGTCATGGAATCTCACTAAATACAAAATTCATGAACGCGAAATGCTTTACGAGACATTAAAGCTGGGAGTCCCAACTTTCAAAGCACAACAAAAAGTGACGAATCCAATCCACCTAGTTAAAGCAAAGGCCTCTGTTACTGACTTTGAGCAGTTTACTTTCTCGTCACCTGTACATTTTTGCTGACAGGTTTGCGGGAGTTTACTGAGAATGCGCTTACTAATGACACCATTTATCCCTTTTATTTTCAGGTCATGTTTTGGAGGCCATGAGGTCAGTTTGAATGAATGTTTTTGTTTTCTGTCCCTGTCTCTGTTTTCTTTTATTACACCTCCTCCTTCCACCCGAAAAACAATTAATCAAGAATAATCCCATGTTCAACAACTAGGCTCACTGTCAACATTTGTTTTTGGCTCCGCTCCATTCACTCAAATATCAAGAACTTCTGGCATAAACATGTCGCATTTCTCCAGTTCAAATGACTGTGCCATGTTAGATTTTTAGGACAGTTTATATAAATAAACGTTACTGAAAATGCACCAGAAATGTCCACAAGGATATTTGACTTTTGTTGTCCCCGGACTAAACAAAATTAACCAAAAGCCATATTGATTAGAAAACAAAAGATCAAAAAGTCTGTCAGTAAAAAAGGCTACAAGGCTCACTGGATCAGTTGTAAATACCTGGTTTACATGTCTCAGGAGCTCAACAAGAACCTAAGCAGTCAAAATGAGTCATTATAAATATGATTTCCCACCAATAAACAATATTCATTATACATGTTGGTCAATATCTGTTTTGTTTTTTAACCCCCCCAAAAATTATAAGATAAGATAGACACACACAGGAGAAATGTACATGTCACATTTGGCATGGATAGAATCACTCAGATTTGTGCAAAAGACAAGTGCAAGTGTGCAAACATGTTAAAGGCAAAAAACTATATAATATAATGTTTTTTGTCCCAACAGAAAGTGTAAAAAAAATCTTTTAGACCTTTCAGTCTAAAAATTTGAGAGTGGCCAAGCTAGTGATAGAACCAAGCTGTTTTGGAGTGAGAAACGAGTTAGAAGGATTACTTAGTTTCATTATTTGAAATGTGAAAGTCAGGTACCCTATCTTTAAACGCTTGTGGTCCTCAGGTGAGTCCTGTGCCGTGTCACCGCCGCGGCCCGTTCTCCTGCGGACGGCAGTGTGGATGCCCTCTGACCTGCACCAACCACAGCTGCAGCCGCCCCTGCCACCCGGTCGCCCCCGGCAACAAGGTAAGCTTTTCCCTTATGTAACCGTCGTTATTTCAATGATCATGACCTTTATCTTGACGTGTTCCTAAAATAAATACATTTCCCTAAGAAGACACATTCTAACTTAAAGTGATAGTCTGTAACTCTAAATGAATTACGCATGGCGCCGGAAAGATGGCGCCGTGGCAAGAGCTCTGGTGGTGTGTCGTCTGGCGCACACCGGGGTAGTCTTGCACAGTTTTCCAATGTGGTTTTACTGCAAATGGCAAATAAATGAATCTGAATCTGAATCTGAAATTTTAGGAAATGTGTTAAATTGACCTCCTGGCCTTAAATGTTGATAGAAAATAAGTCCTTTTATTAATTCTAATATTACAGGTAAGTCCCGCCTTCCCTTCTCTTAGCTATAGTTCAGAATCCACCATGCTGTCGAGGTTAACCAATCGAATCATGCCAAGGGCTGTCAATCATTGGCGCTGATGCTCGTAGCTGCTCATGCTCAGTAGTTTGTTTTCGCGGAGCCTCCGAATCAAGCCTCTATTAGGCTCTGGAACTACATGAAAACTGAACAAAGAATTCTGAACATCCGCGCTGAGTTACCCATTTATATACTGAACCTATATCCATAATCATTTATATACTGAACCTATACACTGTATCCATAATGAGATCCTCTGCAGATCTGTCCTATAATGTTCAATTCATGATAATAGCTTGTTCCGGGTTTGCAGCGATCGCTTTTTTTGTACATAAAAAAAATATTTTTTTCATTAAATTGTTAACAAATAATTCTGAAAACCTCCGTGCATGTGTATTAATAATGTATATGTATAATGTGTTCTCTGATTAACATTTAAAAGTGTTACGGAAACTTATATGTAGACCAATCAGAAAGGAAGGGGGAGGGAGCCTGCGTTGTTTTTTTCAAATCAAGTACCTCTCTGTCTTTTTCTGACAAACTCCAGACAATCACTTTAACTCGTTTTGCCAATAGAACCTACAAGTCAGCATAAAGGGGAAGATATCAATACTGAGATTTGAAATGTTTATGTTGTAATGATGTGATAAACCCACTGATGTCATATATTATCCCTATAACAGACAGAAGTGTGTTGGTTCTAATGCATTTTAGAATCTGCATGGCATCAGATCTTCACTCTTGTATACTGTGATGTTTGGCTCAGTCTTTGACCCTTTCTGTTTGTTGATCCAGTGTGAGGAGTGCGAGTTGGGCTGCCTGAAGCCACGCCCCCTGGGCTGCCCTCACTCCTGCTCCAAGCCCTGTCACAGCGGCCCCTGTCCCCCCTGCCCCCAGACCCTCCGCCAGCGCTGCCACTGCAAGATCAGCTGCCTCTACATCGCTTGCACGTCAGTATCAGCACGCTGTAAACACAGACTGTAGCTCCATCTGCTTGTATTTAACTGTTTAAAATACAAAGTGATCTTTGGAGCATCTGTCCTGTTATTAAAAGGCCTGTACCAAATGTGTCATAAATTCTGCAAAAACACAATATGTTCACAATCTGCTTCAGTCCAAGCTTGTTCCTTTTACCTTCTGGTACTTTCAAAATCCTATCTGTTACATTGAGAAGTTTCTTGCACTATTATAAGAGACCAAAGTGAGCTGGAGCGTGACAAAAGCTTGTTAGAGCTAATCTGAGTTTCCACATTAAACTGGAGAGACTTTATGCCAAATTTGAAACACCTTTTTGTTGCACAACAATTTTAAGATTGTGCTAGACTTCATAACCTCGGAACGTCCGTCTCTCACAGTATGACAGGAAATTAAACATTCTGGATATGGGATCACTGAAATACAGCACCTGGAGCTGAGCGACCTGTGATATGTCCTCCAAACCCATTTCCAACCCATAACTAAATATTTGTCTTTCTGTAGGATTTCTCTTAAAATGTTTTCTTTGTGACGTTCTCTGTTCTTTTGTCTTTCAGAGAGTGGACTGCAGCCGACGACGGGACAAAGACCAAACTCTGCTCCTGCAACAACCAGTGTCCCAAACAGGTATTGACCATCGCTCAAACCGATGACACTATAGAGACACATTTAAAACTTAACGGTTGGTATTCTAATGCTGATATGTGTTGATATTGAATTAGCTAAATTACGCCCATGCCAAGTAAGCCAAATATGTCAAACTTCTTAACGTGGTAAAATGCTAATAACACTACTTCAATATTGATGAATAAAGACACTATTATAGAATTGTACAGATTTCACTACATGTTCAATATAAAATCATAGAAGTCACTGTGTGCTTTTAAACTACTACTCATGTAAATCCTAATCCTAATCATAATTGTGTTGTGTTTTGACCCTTAGTCCTGGTCAATTAAGATAGCGGTGGTCATGTGTTGTTGGTGCAGATAGTGTATTGTAGAGTCAGGTGCCACTTCCTTGTTTGGACATGTGGCTCTGCCCCAGTGCATTATGGGAGGTGTGACTTTGATAAAGAGGTGACAAGAGAGGACTTTGAACTTTCCCCTCCATCTGTCACTAGAATGGACTTTAAAGCAACTCTCTGGAGGAGAATCTCCTGCATGAAAGCTTTAGAACAGGATTAACACAAAGCAGTCAGGTTTTTGGAGAGGCAAACTCGCTCACACTTGTATTCATTATTTTTGTCAATGACATTAAAACAAAAATCTTTAATTATAGTCCATGCTTGTTATTTAAATTAAACACACACACACACACACACACATACACACAAACACACACCGAGCCTTTCACTTCAGTTCTGGACCAGGATGGCATTTCCAAAATATTGATACTGACATTAGCCTGTATTGATCAGACGGATGTGAAAATACAGATCAGAAGAAGTCTGACGATGAAGATTACATCTGCGGTGGGCAACACTTGACCACTTAATTGCTTTAACTCTGGCTCTCTGAACTCAAACGATGAGGAATGCACCAGAGTGTGGCTTCTATTACACTGACCAAAACCAAAGCCGTAGACTAGAAGAGACATCGGGGACTTGAACTCCCAGAGACGAGGCCTTGGTGTAACTGGGACCAGCTCAATCTTTTTTGTGTCTTATTTTTTTATGTTTTTGGTGCAATTATCAGAATCAGATGCACAGTTAAAAAGTAAAAACAAAAGAAAAAGAGAGCAGCAAAGAGCCATGTCGACCGTACGAGGCGCCATCTTGTAATTTATGTATTATTATGTATACTTATGTAAACATTATTAGGGTTAGGGATCACTTCCCGCTTCTCTTGCGGGAAGTGATCTGGAAAAAGATGGGAAATACAATGTGATCTCAAGTAAGCCAAGAAAACTCTCTGAAACGGGTTTTGAGAAAGCGTACATGGAGCCTGAAGTCGGTAACTTGTTGATTTGGTTCATTTATTTTCTAAACTTCAAGACACAATAAGAGAGAGGGGGGGTTGTTTTAACAGCATTCATGTAATAGTATTCTCTTAATATTTGTATCCTATAGTTATTGTATGTTTGTGCTTCTATGTCATTAGCGATCCCAGAAATGTTCCTCCATTGACATGTCTGTATTTTTGTGCAGCTGAGTTGTGGCCATCGCTGTAGACTGCTGTGTCATCCAGGAGACTGTGAGGCTCAGTGTTTGCACAAGGTCAAACTGCGCTGTCCCTGCAGACGACTCAAGAAGGTACCGCAACAAACTGAAACGTACTCAATAACACTAATGAAATATTTAAGTAATAATCACTGTTCGATATGCAGAAAGATAATTATTAAATGCAATCACAAGTACAAACATTGGTCATATTATATCTATATTAGAATATATCACTTGCTCCAATTTAGGCACTTTATCTATTGAATATTTTGTGTATTTTCATATTATTTCTTAGGTTACTTGAATCCAAGCCCAGGTTTCCCAAAGGGCCGAGACCATTTCAGTGGCCCCTCAAATGATTTTCCATTATTTTTATTCACTTGCAGTATTAATGGTGAATTTTCTAACCTAATATGTAACTAGAAACTAAAACGTTTTTTTTTTTTTTTACTTTTTTTTTAAATAAAATAAACAAAACTGGATTAAATATTCTTTTGGCCCAAAAGTATGAATTTGTCGTTATGGTAGATCCATGCTCACATCACCTTTTAAAGGTTAACTATAATGCTAGCATCACACTACAAAGTGCAGAAATGCTCAGCTGCTCCTCAGAAACAAACCTACAGATTCTAAATACAAGTTTATGTAAATGTTATGAATAAATTATGAATTGTAAAGTATTGATGCATTTGGGTCATGATGTTTTTCCAGGAGGTGCAGTGCCACTTGTCGGCTCAGACTCGGCTTCAGTGCGACAACACGTGTAAAGAGCAACAGAAGAAGGTGACACAGGTAAAAGTCATCCGCTAATAACATCCAATTACAAACACATTTGAACACAACATAAAAATCGGCTAAACTTTCATTTAGATTATTTTAATATATACATCTTTTAAGTGTCACTTTCTGTACACAGGTTAAGGAGGCGGAGCTTAAGGCGGTAGAGGAGGAGGAGCTACGCAAACAACAGGTCTGTTCATTTACATGAACTTGCTGTTCATCCATTTTATTTTGCTTTATCTGGGGCTGGGACGCCCAGGCAGCAGTTTGAGAAGAGGCGGCCAGACTTCCCTATCCACAGAAACAAAATACCATAATAAGATTCCATACAGAAAGGTCTATAGTACTTTTTGGAAGTAACAGACTGATTATCTCCTTAGCAGACTCTTGTGATGCCGATATAACACATTTTGTTATCTTTGGCACTATATTGACCAGATTCATAATAAAAAATATTTGCATTCACTCCTAACACCATAAAGTCATCTGTCTTACATATTTACTCCCAAGATGCCAATGTGAATCTGTGTGAAAGAAAATATAATTTACTCTGACATTTAAAAACACCTTGTTGTGTGTGAGTGGCTAGAGAAAACTAGTTTGATTGTGAATGTATCATGTTCTGTCCCATTGAAATGATAGTTCAGACTGACTACATGAACTTGGGCATTGTTTTTTTTTTATTCAGGAGGAGCTGGAAGCCTTCGAGAGGCGCCTTAAAGGGGCAGGACGCAGGAACAAGCGCAAGAGGAAAGGGGAGGAGTCTGAGGATGGGGGGCGGGGCCTGTGGGCCCAACGAGGCCTCTCATTGGTCTTGCTGTCCGTGGGTGGAGCTCTTTTGGCAGCATTCTACTATTACCTGACGATGAGCACCTGAACACAGCAGCCAATCCCTTAAACTTTATTTTTACTTTTCATTTCAATATTTAGAATGTGAAATCATTTCTTAAAACTTGGGTACCAAACTTTTAGTTTAATAAATATGACATATTGTTTATACCAACAGAAAGTCTCTAAAAGTAAAAATGTGTTAACAAATTAGACCAAGACATGTCCTTTTCATCTTATTAGAGAGAATGTTATCATGTTCACACTTGTAAGGCAGTCACTATTTCACCCTCTGGACTGAAGTAAACGTCGCCCTTTTTTTTCATTCTTCTTTTTAAAGATGTGGCCGAGGCTGAATGATAGAACCAAATACATTATTTGTAGACAGAAAAGTTTGGTAGTCAAACTTCAGGTAAAAACAATAGTTTTATTTTTAAAAGGAAGAAAACTGCTATGCCCATGAAGTCATAGTGGTGGGTGACATATTTGGGCCTGAAGTTGTGATCATGGCATAGATGGAGTAAAACATGACTCCAGAAAAAACGTTTTTAGATGGAATATCATTGAATTGTCAACTAGTTTAATTCTTGCTCAAAAAGACCTTGAGGAATCTTATAGCTTTACATCTCTCCACCATTTTGTGTCTATGGTGACGTTGTTGCTCTCCCTGGAATGTCCCAGTGAGGCTTTCTTTCCTGGTATATCATGTGTTTTTGAGACACAAATTTAAAATAAAATGTTGGAATAATTTTTTTTTCTATGCCTGGAACTGGAAGTGTGAAATGAACCAATAAATGAATTTGACTGAAACCCAATACTTTTGGTATTTTTTTCTTTGTGTAAATGGTCCAATGTAGTTTTTGTACTTCTGAAGTCATGTTTTGACTTGATGACAGTTTGGCACTTTAGAGTCTCAGCCGTAGTACTATGGTCCCTGGTATTACTGAGGTCTCTCATCAAGTGTTAGACAAGTAACTTGAAAATTGTGGTGTACTGTATAATAGTTTTATTAGATAGAAGGTTAAACCATATTTTCTCGTTCTGTTCGCTATAATTGTATTTTTACCAGGGCAGTGTTCAACTAAAGTTACTAAACTATAATGAAGACTGGTAATCGAGAGATGCTGGTGCATAATTGTTAATTTACACCTGAGCAAGTTATTGTCGTAAAACTTATTCCTCACACCACCACCTGGGAATCGAACCCATTGTCTTCTTGCTGAGAGGTGTCAAATCTATTCAGTACAAAAGAAAAAGCCTTAGGGAGCTTAGTAAGATAGAAAAGTTATATGTATGACTTGTCTGAATTACGAACATTTGGTCCAGTTGTGTTGTGTTCATATACATCTTAGTTTACGATAATAAACGCTGAATACGTTGATTATCTCTCTCTGTGACGTCAGCCGGTGGCTCGGGGGCGTGTCTTCTCCAAGTGTGTCCTCGCGCCCTCTCCACGCGCTAACACACGAGTCTCGCGCTGCAGCAGCTCGTGTGGTGCGCGCGAGCCCATGCAGCACAGCTTCAGCAGCGAGGTAAGACCACACTCACTGTTACTACACTTGTTCGTATTATTTATTGAAAGTATAAGTTTACAAATTTAATACACAACAGAAAGCAGGTGCCAGGGTGTATTTCATTCACAATGTGATGCGTTACAGATGAAATACATGTTTTTTACTGGCTTTTCTTACTATCACTAATTGGCTATTGTGTAAATTAGCATATTGTTGTAGACGTGTTTGAAGATAGTTTGCTAATTATTATTAACATTTGTTTGCTGTAACATAACTTTACAAATGATAATAAAAAAAACATTATTTGCCTACTCTGCGCTACCGTTACATCCCTTTACTTACCAGTTTCTTTCAGATCAGAAGAAAATATATGGACTATATTTGTTAACTTTGTTTTTCTCCCAACAGAAGAGTTTTGCAAAAGTCAAATGTGAACAAATCAGATTTCAACCGGCCTTCTCCATCATTATAAAACATGTTATCTTTTGCATTCTTCAAGACAGAGCTCAGTCACTATTCGACGCTTTGGCAAAAAAGTGAGAGCTGATTGGCTGAGTGAAGGTGGTTCTTGTTTCACGTTTCTTTAGTCAAGAAGCTGACCTAAAGATGCGATGGATGACAGAAAAATGCATGCATGTGGAAACCAGTGATAGAACCAAACTGTTTTCTGATGGAGGAATGATTTTAATAAACTTTAACAGTTTTCATTCCACTGCCTTTTACATGATTCCAATCTAATTATAATAGAAGAAATGGTTAGAATTATAGTCACTTTTTAGATGTTTGGCCCTGGATCTGTACCAGTCCTGACTTTAATGGAAGTAGAAGCATTTATTTAAAGTAAATAATGTTTTTTAACTTTGCCTAAAAACTGAAATAAGACAAGAGACCCCTTTTTCATGCCACAGTGGGAGAAACTAACAGATTGTGCTGAATTCTGCGTATAACTGTAGAGAATGTGTATAGATATGTGTTTTTGTGGGTTTTGTGCTCGCTAACTGGCCTTAAGTTTAATATGTCTTTATTATCCTGATGTGAAGTCCCAAAGCCAGGGTTTGACAAGCTTTTTAATCATTAGAGCCATTTTTCCCCTTCATCTGCCAAAATGAAATGGTCAACTGTACTATCATCACAGCCCATATTTATTGTCCATAATTTTTGCTAAAGCATAACCTTGTAGCTAAGGTGTAACATTGACGTTTTTCTCATAGAAGAAGCACCGTTATGGACTCTCCACCTCTAAATGAGTGGCTATCGTTTTATCGTTCTCATTTGAATTCACTGAGCACTGTCTCTCTCCCCTGTTTGTCCTTTATGCACTTCACAATGTAAATTATAGATGCGTTTGGACTCATTCTATTTGTGATGTGGTGTTTTTCTTCATTAAACCTTCTGCCTTTGGATAAGAACATTGTGATGAACTAGTGGCTGAAGTCTTAAAAATGGGTCTCATAAAATCTCCTGTTTGACGATGCAAAAGGCTGAAACGTTCATTTAGTTAACCTTTTTCCTCAACTCTTTTCCTCAACTCTCAAAATTTTTCATACATTTTTAACGGAACATTGACAGCAGAATACAAAAAATAGGGCCACAACTAATGATTATTTGATAATTGATTAATATAAAGATAATTCCTTCAATCAATTAATCTATTTATTATTTGTCCATGGAAATGGCTATATTTGAGGCAGATGTGGAGCCTCTGGAGGATATTCCAATAGATCCTTCTAAACAATCCTATTTGAAAATTACATTACAATATTTATGCATCTCTGTAACTATAGAGCTGATCATGATCATTTAGTGAATGTGAAATTTCAATATTGAGATCAAACAAATATCAGAAATGCAGAAAAGGTGAAAACAGTGAGAGTGGTTAGATGGTCATGCAAGAGGAACACAATGGTCTCATGTAGAAGAGAAACGTGTTTTAATGGCTCTAAAAAAACAAGTGAAAAAACAATTATCACACGCAGAACTGTGAAAACAGAAAGATCTATGGTGTTATGGGAGCTGATGTAAATAACATTTACAAATATATTTAGCTGCATTCAGTCTTTTGGTTACCAAGTGTTACTTTGGTACCAAGCTTCCCTGGGACACTGTCAGTGGCGCACCACTGGTGCACGTGGAATGAACAAATAATGCTATATGATGACTAAATAATTGAATTGCAACTACATTCCTGTATGAAGGTCTGGTTCAGTCCTGGTTTGGACCCGGTTTGGACAGTGTGGTCTCCTGAGTGTTTGTCTTTTGTTCTGAGCAGTGACAGTTTTAACTCCTCCAGATGTTTTTCTCCTTCAGTCTGCCCAGAACCAGACCTGGTTCTTATTGTACATAATATATCCTGCATTTAACATGTTTGCACATTTCCTCCCTTTTTGCACAATCTGAGTGTTTCTATCCATGCCAAGTGTGACATGTAAATTTCTCCTTTGTGAGATAAATAAAGCATATCTTATCTTATCTTATCTTATGTTTTTCTCCTTCAGTCTGCCCAGAACCAGACCTACCTTGGTTTTTGTTGGCTCCCAAACCACAAGACAAATCAAATTTACCTATACAAATACAAATAAAGAAACATGAAGCTGGTTTGATCTTCATAAATTTGACTTTTGATAATAGTCCTTGATGAATCCTGGTTTTGTAGGATTAAATGAAGTTGTGATTTATTCCTTTAGCCCTGTTTACGTTCAAACAAACAGCAGGTTGTTTGGTAATATTTTTTGTAGTTGTTAAAATGTATTGAAGAAAATCCATGCTCTAAACTTAAGAACGCACTTTAGAACCACAGTGGCTCCGAGGCAGGCATGACAGTGGTCTCTCATCACAGCACTGGCCGGACCTCACACTGCTTAGTGCTTAGCTCCGGACAAGCAGCTATGGCCACATAGACAGGTGAAAGGATAAACCTGTGCCACTTAGACCTCAATCTTTTCGCTTTTTCTTTTGTAACAGTGGGGAAAGCAGCTTTCTCCCATTACGCTCTGGAAGTGGAACACACTGTCTAATGGTTTGGCAAAAACACAATGAACCCAAATTTCTAACAAAGACCTCTTCCTTACTCACTGAGCAACTGGTGTGTCAAAACAACTCACCATTTAACCTGCCTGGCTCCCTATTCTTTTTGCTGAGGCATATTCAGTGTGAACCCTCGACCTATAGTAATTTAGACTTGAAGACTAATTAGGAAAGTCAGAAGTTTGTTTTGACCCTTTTCTCTCAACATACTTAGTCCCTGCCGTGAAAAGCCAAAACGGTTTTCAGTTAAACACGACATTAAAAAGATAAAACAAGTCTGCAGTATGAAAATTCCTCAAATATGCTCCAAAACTTTAAACTAAACCTTTTCTGTAATTGTGTCTTTACTTATATATTGTGTTTTGTTGCTTTGTCTTTATTACATGGATACAAGTTTTTCTTTATATTTAGCCTGACCCTAACAAACTATTACATGAGGTGTTGTAAAAGTAATACTAAACTACTAAATATATATTCTCAATATATACACCTGTTTTCCTCATATTGAAATAGAGCAAGATATTTGAGTAATGCGACATCACTATTCCACTGTATGAAGTTGGACATTATTGATAGATCAATGTGACTTGCCAGCGATAATAGCAGTAAAAGTAGTAGTCGTAATAGGAATAATATTATTTTCTGTTTAATGAGCCACAGATGCTTATCTTCCAGTTAGAGTTTATTTAAAGCCGTGGAGTTTCAGGTTACACTCACGACTGAAATAACTCGGCGGAAAAAACTCCAGACGAAAACAAGACCCTTCCTCTGTCCTCCGCACGCTCCCCTTAAACACCCGCATCCCTTTTCAGAGAAACTATAATTACATCCAAAATCTAATTAAACGCTTCCTCCAGCCACAAGGGGCCAGCAACCGGTTGAATAGACAAGGCAAAGCAAGGCAAGTTTTTCTATAGCACAATTCTTATACAAGGCAACTCAAAGTGCTGAACAAAACCAGATAGAGATAATCACACAAGGCATTTAAATAATAAATAATCACAGGTTTTTTCTTGCCTTTTCAGGAAGACTGATCCAGATTTTAGCTGCATGAATCTGAAATGCGGCCTCCCCATGTTTAGTTCTATTCTCTGAGCCACAGGAAGACAGTGCAGAGGCCTGAGAACTGGACTAATGTGATCATACTTCCTGGTTCTAGTCAGGACTCCAGTCTAAAACAAATGTTAAACTGGTAAAGGAGACATATATTTGTCCTGGGCTGCCTTCCATTAACTCAAAGGCTAATAAAAATCGATATGGCCCTGACCAAATTGAAGTTGAAGAAAGAGAGACCTGAAATCCTGTTGTAATGTTTGTTTTCTTGTCCATGTTGTGCCTCAGTCGTGTGGTGGAAGTGGGAGGGGCATGGGTCGCAAGGGGGTGTGTCCAGACAAACTGGGCTCGGCCAATCACCTACGGCGCCTGCTCTACATCCTGGTCCCCACAGTGAGTCTGCTGACGGCTGTGCTGCTGCTGGCTCTGGCCCTGACAGGTGAGACATGGAGGTGCTTCAGTCTCTGCTTCAGTGTCTGCTTCAGTCTCTGTTTTAGTCCCCGATTCAGTGTCTACTTCAGTCTCTGCTTCAGTCTGTGTTTCAGTCCCTGCATCAGTCTCTACTTCAGTCTCTGCTTCAGTCCCTCCTTCAGCTGGACTACCTAACTATATTATTGTATTCATCAGGGAAATTCAATCCACATCCATGCAGTGCTTTGGAATATACGTCCTTTTGAAGAATAAGTAGTGCAGGTTTGTACTGGAGTGAAATTTTATTTTAGATTGGGGACCAGATTTTGACCAATCAAAGCGGACCACTGGCCCCCACTTTCTTGAGAAAAGCTATAGGTCTCTTGCTAGTGCGTACAGACAGTTGAGGTAAATGGGCATCATGGCAGAGGCTAACCTGAAACTTCCCGTGTCTTTGTTACCGGTTACTGCTTACTCAGCGAAACCGCCAAAAGAAAGACTCCGTTCAAATGTGCGATCCATATTGTTAGATGTGAGCTTCGTAAACAACAGCACATGAGCACACGCATGAGTGGGAGGGAGGTAGTGGGGGCGAAAGCTTTGTGAGTGCGGGGAGGGGAGCAGAAAGAGCGAGGGCAGCGCTTACATTTGAAACTGCTGCTTCGAAATCACAAAGTGAGTTTGTCCAGCTTTAAGTTCCTGCTTCAGTCCCTGCTTCAATCTGCTTCAGTCTCTGCTTAATTCCCTGCTTCAGTCCCTGCTTCAGTCTCTGCTTCAGTCTCTGCTTAATTCTCTGCTTCAGTCTCTGCATCAGTCTGTGTCAGTCCCTGCTTCAGTCACTGCTTCAGTCTGTGTCAGTCCCTGCTTCAGTCTCTGCTTCAGTCTGTGTCAGTCCCTGCTTCAGTCTCTGCTTCAGTCTCTGCTTCAGTCCGTGTCAGTCCCTGCTTCAGTCCCTGCTTCAGTCCGTGTCAGTCCCTGCTTCAGTCCCTGCTTCAGTCTGTGTCAGTCCCTGCTTCAGTCCCTGCTTCAGTCCGTGTCAGTCCCTGCTTCAGTCCGTGTCAGTCCCTGCTTCAGTCTGTGTCAGTCCCTGCTTCAGTCTCTGCTTCAGTCTCTGCTTCAGTCTCTGCTTCAGTCTCTGCTTCAGTCCCTGCTTCAGTCCCTGCTTCAGTCTGTGTCAGTCCCTGCTTCAGTCTCTGCTTCAGTCTGTGTCAGTCCCTGCTTCAGTCCCTGCTTCAGTCCCTGCTTCAGTCTCTGTCAGTCCCTGCTTCAGTCCCTGCTTCAGTCTGTGTCAGATCCTGCTTCAGTCTCTGCTTCAGTCTGTGTCAGTCCCTGCTTCAGTCCCTGCTTCAGTCTGTGCCAGTCCCTGCTTCAGTCTCTGTCAGTCCCTGCTTCAGTCCCTGCTTCAGTCTCCGCTTCAGTCCTCCATCAGTCTCTGCTTCAGTCTCTGCTTCAGTCACTGCTTCAGTCTCCGCTTCAGTCCTCCTTCAGTCTCTGCTTCAGTCTCTGCTTCAGTCTCTGCTTCAGTCTCTGCTTCAGTCACTGCTTCAGTCTCCGCTTCAGTCCTCCTTCAGTCTCTGCTTCAGTCTCTGCTTCAGTCTCTGCTTCAGTCCTCCTTTAGTCTCTGCTTCAGTCTCCGCTTCAGTCCTCCTGAGTCTCTGCTTCAGTCTCCGCTTCAGTCCTCCTTCAGTCCTGGTTTCATCTGTTTCAGGGATGCTGGGCAGTGGCTTGTTGAGCTCCAGTCCTTTGCCGTCGCCTAAGCCTTTGACTGAAGATGATGTCACAACAACAACCCCCACCCCCTCCTCCATCAGCCAAATCCTCATCACCCAATTAAAAACTAAAGCTGCTTCATCGGCCGCAGTCATTGGACCAGACCTCACAGAGACCACACCCCCTCCCACAGAGCCGCCATTGGATTGGCTGACCACAGTAACGTCACTCAGCACAATTTCTTCATTGACTTTCACTACCAACGCACCGGCCTCTGATTTTAACGGTATGTTTTTAAACAATTTTTAAACTTTTTATAGAATTTCACGCACTCAAGGTTGCTTTTAGAGTTCATACAGTTTTGCGTAAGGTGGACACTCTTTCACCCTCTGGAAACATGGCCACCATTTTTACTTTTAAGATGATCTTTTTTTATGTAGTATGTTTTTTCCTTTAACCTTTATTGATACACACACAATTATTATTGTCATACAATTATCCTTTCTAAATCTGCAACAAGGGGATGATTCGCCAAGGACTGAAGAAAGAAATTATGCTTGATTCTGAACAAGGCCTTTGATTTGACCATATGTCACTGATATCATAAAGAGGGCGCTGCAGATCCACCTGGAAGTGCGCAGACATAACTAAGTATATGATAAATGTAGATCTTGTGGACATCTGAGTTACTTCATCTCTGTCATGATGAACTGATTCCATCCATTCTTGCAGCTCCTTTTCTATCTGTACTGTAACTTTATAGTTTTGAACCACTATCAATTCAGTTCAGGCTGTATATTTGAGCTCAAAGCTACACATACAGTTGATACAACAAAAATACAATCTCACAGTTTGTTTGAGTACTATATTGAGCTCATAAGGAGTAGGCAGAAGTAAAAATAAAAATAAAAATGTATAATCACTTACTCCTCCTTTGATTGACATTTGACTTTTTATGTTGGGAGAAGGAAAAAACAGAATCTTGTCCTGCTGCCAATGTCCAATCAGGCGCGACAACCGACAGACACTAGTTTGCATTCAGCAGACGTCTGAGGACAGCGGAGGACACGTTTATGGATTAGACACACACAGGCACACACACACAGACACACACGCACAGACACACACGCACAGACACACACGCACACTCCTCCATTTGTCCAACGTGTCCTCTCCCTAAAATGCTGAGTCAGCTCAACTTTCGGCTTGTTCTGTCCTCAGATACATCACAAGGGAAATTATGATTAAAGTGACATCTACGGATACACCAATAACAAATATCAATGCAAATTCAGAATCTAGTTTTATGATATATTGTTCAAGCTGATACCTTGAGTGGGGCTTCATCAAATGATGAAATAAGATTATTTACTTAGTTATGTTTCTTACTAACACAAAGTTATCCAATTACTGTAAAAATGGTATATTTGTACTCGACAAATTCAAAATTATTGGAAATGTTGACGTCTTTTGGAATAATTACGCTGTGTTGTAACCCATCTTGCGACCTAGTCTCTTTACAAAGGGGAGTTCAGTGTGAACACTCCAACCAAATATGGATCAGCAATAAAACTGTTTTATTGTCAGATGAGGAGGGTTATAAAACTACTTACAAGTCATAAAAGAGATACTACTACTTTTTTGCTTTGCTCTATAACATTTGGACTTGTATAATACATTGCAAAATATGTATTTTTCTCCATACAATGCACTGTGATGTTAGACTCACTTAAAGGCTGACTAAAAAACTTTCCAACCTTTTCCATGGCTCTCCTGAGTCAACACTGCATTTCAACATGTCAAAAAAGTCAGGGTCGCAGTGGGGACCACACCATAGTACAGATTACATTTCGTACTAAGGTCTGGAGGTGCTCCATTGAGCTCCGTTTACAGGTGGAAGGGGTTACAGCTCCTTTTGCAGATTGAAACCATTGGATCTTACCGTGACGTATGTAGTGCGCCCGAGTGAGTCGTTAGCATTTAGCATTTAGCCTAGCCATCTCCTTTGCCGTGGGGAGTATTGCCACAATCTTTGCCAGCATTTACATTTGCTAAACATTCCTCTTGCTCCGGCCTCAATTTGTTGATAGTAAAGTAATCCGTTCTGGTTCTATCGCATTCTTCACCATTGCCAAACTATAACCTGCCCGTTCGGCGCAAACTCTTGACGTCACTTACATCTAACTACAACACCTGCACCCGCGCTTGCTGATTGGTCGGATGGAATTCAACCGATTGTAATCGCAAACACAGGGACCAGACCCAGACGTTACATACAGTGAAATGATAATTGAGCGGAGTGTAAGGATCGCTAAGGCCAGGCTAGGAAAAGCCTATCATTTTAGTTTAGTTTAGGAAATACCATATCTTCTGTTCAATTGGGAATGTGACACCTGTGATTGGCAGGTAGCTGTCAGCTGATCCAGGAGCCGCAGTGTCACATGTTGCCGTATAATCAAACATTTCTGACATCATCTCTCAACGTCGTCAAGAGTTCAGAGGTCGATATGCTGTTGAGGTGAGTCTTGAACCTAAACAAACTAATCCTACCCCAAGAACAAAGTCACCTCTCATATACCGGTTGTCTTCCAGGGACATAACATGCAAATTTAAGCGTTCACTTTCCACTATGTTCTAGAATTTTCAGAATCTGTGATGCGCTGATGATTCGGCAGTGACATCCTGCGGTTTTAGCTTGAAGGAAAGAAATAGATTATGGGAACTTCATTAACGATTTGAACGGAGCCTGTGGCGGCTTTGTGTGACCATGTTAGTGATGGTCTCTATCCATACGCATTCAGGAGTCATATGATTTTGCTTTAGATCAATATTCAGATTCCCTTTCTACTAAATACTGAATAATAATCCCTGAGTGGAAAGACAACTTCATTTCTCCCTGTGTTTTTACAGGTTTTTCAGTTACTTGAGCCGCCTCTCGTGCTACAGACACATCATGCTGTTCGGCTGCTCACTCGCTCTACCCCAGTGTGTTCATCATGGAGACGACAGGTAACAAACCGGGACAGGTGAATTTCACGGCAACTTTTAGAAATTCTACTGTTGGATGTGCTGGAAAAAAGTATTTAGATCAACTATCCTTTCTACATAGGCTGTAAACTTTAGATAGGTGGCACAAATTTGATCTCCAAGTTTATTGTTTTGTGGACTCAACAGAAACATATGGGTGACAGCACAGGGCCTATTTGGCTCCTGCTTGGGACGCCTCCTGTGGAACAGAGTCTAGCTTTGGAACAGCCTAGCTTGGGAACACCCACTCGAATCATTTCAAACTGCACAACAGCTGGAAACTTGAAGCAAAATGTTGGCATGGACTGGGGGACCAATCCCAGAAACAGTATTGACGGCAGACAGCAGTTTGTTTACAGGTTTAGCAGATTGCAGCAGACATCTTCCCTCCTATTTAACTTGTACAAACAACAGTAATTGTTTGGCTCCATTGTATAAACCTCATTTGGTTCTTCCCTTCTAATGCTCAATATGCGTTACCGGGTTGAATTGATAAGATTGATCTATACATGCTTATGATAGACATTTGTAGCACCCAATAAACAGCTATGGATGAGCGTAGACCACACCTCTCCTACAAGAACATTAAGACATGGTTTCCAGACTACTTATTCACTTGTAGCAGTTTCTAGTCTTTGCCAGGCTAGAGACTGCCTGGAGGCCCACTAAGTCTCAAACTCCTGTCTCTGGGACCTGCCAACAGATCCAGTAGAATGAAAGGATGTCTGTTACCTGTATGTCTGTGTCTTCTGTGCTTGTGTCAGACGCCTGGTCCTCCCCTGCGAGTCATTCTGTGAAGCGGCACGTCTCGGCTGTGAACCCGTCCTCCACATGTTCAACGCCTCGTGGCCCGAATTCCTGCGCTGCTCCCAGTTCAGCTCCTCCTCTGCACCCTCCTCCTCACCGTCTCCAGCCTCCTCTTCATCATCCACACCCTCCTCTCCATCACTGTCACCTCCTCCGACAGCATCATCGTCATCATCAGTCTCTATTTGCTACTCCCCCCGGAATGTCAAGGGCAAAACATGTAAGAACTGATAACTAACACAAGGCAGTATTAAGCAGTTTACGGTGGGCGCAAAAGTTTCTGAACCCTGACTTTCAACAGTTGAAAATTGTGAAATGGTTTCCAGTTTCCAAGCCACAGATTCCAATAATGTTTAAACATAATAATATATAGCACATATGCAGAAATCTCTCTTTGATGGGGTCATTGGGTCTCTGGCTCTCCTGCTCTCCTCCTCTCTGATTGGCTCTCCTGCCTCCCCCCACAGCGGTGTGCGGTGGTCAGGATCACTTCCTGTGCTCCAGTGGGATCTGTGTTCCTCAGAAACTTGTCTGTAACGGATTTAACGACTGCGACGACTGGAGTGACGAGACGCCCTGTGGTGAGTGCTGGTACTGCTACCTATATGCCGTGGTTGTCCCCTGGCTCTGCTGACCACTGCCAACCCGACAGGCTCGCTGTGCTCTAGTATTTTTGCCTGATTAATTGTCCTAAAGAATAATTAAAATCTGATAAACGTATAAGTTAGAACAGCAGTCAGCTTTGTGTGAATACAAAACTTCTAATATTAAAATACATATAGTCTAACGTTTAGCATTTCAGACGGCTAATAGCTGTTACCTGACAGGTGAGCTCTATTAAAAGAGCAGACACTGTTCTTTATACAATATTTTGTTGTTGGTGACATAAGAATCCAGAGTTCCTCATATAAAAGCACATAAGCACAATGTCGGAACACCCGACATCTAAACTGGACATCCAAGTTCCTGCGCAGACTCAGACCAGATTAGCACTAAAATATGGCAGTTAAAAGTTTAAGGAGATAAAGGAAAATCAGATCAATGAAGAGATGAAAATAGAAAATAATCCTTTCTCAAGGCCTCCTCTGTGAACAATACAATACATTTTACAATACAATACAATGTATTCTTATATAGCCCTAAATCACAACAGCAGTCACCAACACAGATCAGAGAATCAACAGTTAATACACAGAAAATACACATACCTGTATGTATTGGTCCAAATGGAGAGGCCAATGTCAGGGCCTTTGAACTCACATCAAATAAATTATTTGTCTATGGGAGAACTCCTCTGGACCCTGAGGCTGCAAGTTTGTGGAAGTTATGATTAATACAAAAAGTATATTCTCATACTTGTGATAATGAATACAGAAAGCACTACAAAGGATTGCAACTGTAATTCTTATTGACCCAAGCTGATCTTTGATCTTGAATCTAGTCTTGTTTAAATCGTTTACTTGCGCAGCCCAAAACAAACTGTTCAGTCCCGATTCAGTCCCTCTGTTTGAGTCCTCTCCGGTTTATGGCTCTTCACAGAAAGAGCCACAAACAGAGGTTTTTCAAACTGTTTCCTTGACAACCGTGACACACAGAGAAGTGATTGATGGGAATTGTAGTTTGTAAAGAAAGGAATGCATCCGCCCCACAGTGACCTGCGTTTACAATACGGAATTCACAAAGCAGTTCTAACGCAGGCCCAGTGGAGTAACGACGCACTACTGACGCAGTAGTGATAAAGTAGTGAAGAGAGGCCCTCGCAGCAGGAAGCCTCATCAATTACACTGTTTGTAATTTTATTTTATTTGGAGTCAATGACCTAAAATACAGGTTTTTGTATTGGACAATCCTAACTATCTTGATGACAAAGAAGGGAAATTATTGACCTGATCACAATAATTCTTAATTGAATTTAAGTGATATACAAAATCAACTTTAAACCTTATCATAGTTAGAAGACACAACTTAGATTTTTTTTTTTTTTTACAAACTTTTAATGCCAAATCCCAGGCTGTTTTCAGGCTTTTGCAACAAAAGCAACTTCAAAATTAGTTTGCAGAATTTCCTGTGAAATAGCGACTGTGTGCCTATAATCAACAATGGCAGAGCAGAGCCTTTTATGAGTGGTTTCAGTGCTGTTTCTACAGTACATGTTCAATGGGACTACATATAAAAACTAGCCTCTGTATTTACAGCATTAGTCATTCATTAATACACACTGTCCCATTCTAATAAATATTCAATTAATAAAGTTATCTTGTTATCTCAGCTAGTAAACTTTATGCATATACTGTATTTTCTATTTATTGAAATGTTTTTGATTCTAAAACATGGAATGAAAAGTAGATAATCTCATGTTGTTTGTTTTCTCCTTCAGAGTGTGCGGACTGGGAGTTCCGTTGTTCCACCGGACGCTGTGTGCCTCCTAGTTTGGTCTGTGACGGATTTGACGACTGTGGAGACCTCAGTGACGAGATGGGCTGCGGTGAGTCCTGGTCTAGTCCTGGTCCAGTACCGGTTCAGTCCCGGTTCAGTCCTGGGTCAGTCCTGGTCTGGTTGCTGGAGGAGGAATCCCCAGCTGTTTGGACAGAGCTCTCAGCTGTTCTTTCTGAGTTACTGTCTGCAACTTGAGACTTGGTCTGTTGGGAAAACCACATCAAATATTATATAATTATCTTGTTGCCGTTTATTTGCATTTTGTTCATTACTGTATATTGTTTATGTTTTAAACTATTGTGAATTCCTCATGGGTTAGTCCAATTATTGTTTCCCAAAAAGTCTACCAAGTCTGTCAGACCTACTGTATAATTTGGCATCTTTACTTTTAACATTTTTGTACCTTTTGTAAACACACTTTTAAATGTTTAAAATTACTTATTTACTTTTCTTTTATAACTAATTGTGATGCAGCCGGTGAGGTGAAGACTCACTAGTTGTTTTCCAACCAAAGTAAGCCATTTTGTGCTAGCCGTATAGCCGGATAATTTGCTGCAAAATTCCAAATCAATGGGCTGTATGTTCGTTCATGTTGCATTGTCTACTGTATTGTCTATATGTAAATATATTAAACTGACCATCTGAACCTCACCTCTCTATTGTTGTGGATTTTGAATTGTTGTTTTAATTTTAAAATCTGATTTCAACTGTTGGTGTGTTTGTTCTTCAGAGTGTAACTTGACGCTGGAGCACAAATGTGGAGATGGACGATGTGTTTCCAAAGAGTGGGTCTGCGACGGAGACTTTGACTGCGGCGACAAGAGCGACGAACACAACTGCTGTGAGTACTGCAACTGCTGCTACTGCTACTGCTACTCCTACTGCCTCTGCTGCTACTGCTACAATACTTGTAAGGCAAGGCAAGTTTATTTGCATAGCACATTTCATACACAAGGTAACTCAAAGTGCTTAACAAACAACATAGAAACTATCATACAAGGCATTAAAATCATAAATAATCAACACACATAAAAAAATAGAAAGATAAAATCTCTCAGTTGTCTGCACAGTTGTTTTTAGAGAACTGGATTTGAATGTCGTCAGAGAAAAAGCCTGTCTCACATTTTCAGAAAGCATTCCAGATATTAGCTGCATAAATCTGAAATGCAGCCTCCCCATGTTTAGTTCTGAGCTTCTCAGAGTCCCAGTTGGTTCATATGGCACTAACATGTCTCTGATGTACTTGTACTAGTATTACTACCTCTAGACAAATATTTTGTCACTGTCCCATGATAAAATTAAGCCCGCTTGCACTAAACCAGAGCTGAATCAGGAGAGGACCAGGCCTGGAGAGTCTTCCCTCTGAAGGTCATGTTTTGTGACTCACACGTTTCACAGTTTGATGCATGAATCTGTCTTCTCCTGCTGCTCTTCCTGCTGCGCTCCATCTGACCGATCACACATTCAGTCAGCTATTAGGTCACATTGCATTGTGTTGGTAGCTTCGAGCCCAACTCAGCACAAACACCCCCATCCCATCTGTCTAAGGACTCGGTATTCAAACTCAATACACTCGCGTTATTGTCCCTGATATTATGATGAGACAATGTTGGTCTTTCTAGAATGTGAAATCATTTATCAAGTCGAAACTGTAGGGAATTTTCCTACTGCAGGGGATTTACATCATAAAGGACTAAGGAAAGCTTACTGCGCAAAAGAAAGTGCAGAAGCCCAAACTCTGATGGTAACAGTGTCTCTCACCCAAACACAGCTTCACACTATTTTTCAAGTATTGCTTTTTTGATCAAATGACATGTCACCAGAGAAGCAATACTTTTGTTTTAAAGAGACAGAAAATAGTACTGATACTGATATTGCAACATTGATAAAAGCTCAAAAAGGACAATTTTGCACACCGGTTTTATCTCTTTTAAATTGTTCATTCTGATACTTTTGTGTGTTCAGCGTGTAAGAGTCAGGGTTTGTTGGAGTGTCGTGACGGTCAGTGCATCCCGTCGGCTTTTCGCTGCGATGGAGAAAACGACTGCAAAGATGGCAGTGACGAGGAGCAGTGCCACGGGGAGCAGAGTGAGGCCTCCCCACTCACACACACACGCACACATTCGCACACACGCACACATTCGCACACACACACAGACACATAGTTCCTTTTTTGAGGAAATAGAATCTTCATGACGTGGAACAGGATCCCTCCACCAAAATCTCACAGAACGTACATATATATTTCCCTCTAATATTAGTGTTGGCTAACGTTGGCATGCTCTGCTTCAGCTGGGGTGGTGTCATGTCCGCCGGGTGAGTCCAGCTGCACTTCCTCCTCCTGCTCAGCATGTGGCGCCAACGAAGCATGTGACACTCGCATCAACAACACCTCATCCCACCGGCGCAACAACTGCTGTGAGTCCAAGGCTGAATCCATATTACATAAAAGTATATTCTTCCTTTCCTTTAGTAGAAATTGACCTTTTATGTAAATTATGGTGAAATATAAATCAGTTTGTCCCAGGGCAGCTGTGGCTATAGTAGTATCTTATCATTACCGAGTACATCGAGTGAATGAATAATGCTGAGTGAAGTGTCCAAAAAAACCAATTCAGTTATTTCTGAACCCAAATATTTTGCATGTGATGTATTATATCAATATCAGTTTCATTTTCACCGATTGAATGCATTGAATCAATATTTGTCCTTTATTTAAACTGGCCGGTGGTTCTCCCTCTTGCTCTGTGCTCTCCTCTGCTCCAGCCCAGTGTGAGCCCATCACTCTGGAGCTGTGCCTAAACTTGCCGTATAACCACACCACGTTCCCCAACTTCCTGGGGCACCACTCACAGCGGGAGTCGGCCGTGTCTTGGGAGGCCTCTCTGTTCCCGGCACTGGTTCAGACCGGCTGCTTCCCATTTCTCATGTTCTACGCCTGCAGCCTCCTCGTGCCCAAGTGTGACCCCAGCACTGCCCAGAGAGTCCCCCCCTGCAGGTGAGAGTGGGAACAGTCCACTGCACCTTTTCTGATTGTTTTGGTAGATTAGAAAAAATACATAATGTTTAGATTTAGTGCCCAGGTCATGGGAGACCACTGTAATACCAAGTTCACAATGTCCACTTGGGTTGTGTCCTAAGTAAAGAAATGTCATCCACTTTGTCTGAAATGTATCTCTTGTCTTAACAGATTTCCAGATAAAAGGAAATAGAATTGTGAATTATTTGTTCTTATCTTATTGTGCCAGGTCTCTGTGTCGCGGGGCGAAAGATCGCTGTGAGTTGGTGTTGGGAATCGTGGGTCTGCAATGGCCCGAGGACTCGGACTGCTCACAGTTCCCCGAGGAGGACGAGGGCGCCCCCTGCCTTCTGCCAGTGGACGGCACTGACGGTAAAACACCACTTGAATTTGCAAAGCCATTTATGAGCTTGCCCATGGTAAAACCGATATCATTGTGACTTTTAAGGAAACCTTTGGAACTAAATAAATATTAGTACTGTTCAGTGTGGCTAACTTTAACTAATTGTAACTACAATATTTTTCTTTTTTTCAAAGTAATCCCCTTAATGGAGAATATCAATGTTTTTGTTGAAATCACATATGAAAGTTTGAAGTGGTTACGACACCTGTTACAGGACTTGTTTGGTCTTTGGATAATGTTATTTTTTTGTCTCTTGAGGCAGAGTGCTCCCCCAGTCACTTCAAATGTCGCTCGGGACGTTGTGTTCTGGCGACAAAACTCTGTGACGGACATTTGGACTGTGATGACCAGAGCGACGAAGATCACTGCGGTGAGAACACATTTGCACCTATTTTAACTAGATCCAGAAGTTTCATAGAAGTCGCTCTAAAATCCAATCATACAAGACAACATTCATGTATATCTTTTGCTTCTAGGCTGTTCTGAGCGTGCTCTGTGGGAGTGTCCCGGCAGCTCCGTGTGTATAAAACCCTCAATGATCTGTGATGGGATCCCAGACTGCCCCCTGCAGCTTGACGAGACCAACTGCAGTAAGTAACCTTTACCGCTACAGAGGCTGACTATGTCCCTGGTCACTTTTCTTTTTAATATTTGAACTTTTGAACTATTTTTGTTTTGTTCCCTTTAGCCGTGTGCAGTGATAACGAGCTCTCCTGTAACAACCACGAGTGTGTCCACCGGACTTTGTGGTGCGACGGCAAACAGCACTGCTCCGACAGCTCTGACGAGTGGGACTGTGGTGAGGCCTGCTTAACACACGGGTTAGTTCTGGTTTAGGACTGGTTTAGTCATAGTTTAGACACTGTTTAGAACTGTTTGGCTTTGAGTTGTTTCAGGACAAAGGTGCATTTTATTGCTGCTTTCACGTGCAGAAGAATTCTGTCAAATTCCTCCTTTGTTCAGTCCATGTAGGACTGTTAGTTGTTTTAGTCAACTAAAATATTAGACAACAATAAAAAAAGACTCAGATTGATGTTTAATTGCAATTTGAAAATAATTTTGTTTGTTAGTTCCTTTTGCGTTTTTGTCCATGTTTAGACCTTGTTCAGTCTTTATGGACTAACCCTCTCTTTGGTCCTTGTTTCTCTTAAGAACAGGCAAAAGTAAAGGACCAAAAGGTTACCCTTGCCATGTACCTCTGGGAATACAAATAATACATAGTTGATCTTCTAAATGTATATAATTAGCATATTATTTAGGCCCAAGGTCTATAGTGTTTTAAACCTTAATGGCCTTGATTAAAATTCTGTTCCCTGGCTCCATCTCTGGTTGTTATGGCCTTTTATTCACTCTTAATTTTTTCTTTTACTAGCATGTTTAGTCCTGTTTTAATTGTGCTTCTGGGTTATATAAATATTGCTTGATCGTCTGAACATATTAAACCCTCTCTTTGGTCCTAGTCTCCCTGGAAGACCGGTCTGGCCAGGTTTTGACGGTGCTTCGGTCCGGGGCTGAGTACCAGGTCTGTGCCGACGAATGGACCCAAGACCTGAGTGAGCTGACCTGTCGACAGCTCGGGCTAGGGTAAGGTCAGTAGCACACTACACTACTGTAACTAATCACAGCAAAAGTAAGATTAAAGTAGTAAATGTAAAGTATAAGAGACAAGATTTTAGAGAGACAAATTGTACTATTGTCTTATTGAATCTAAATTGTGATTATAAGGCGATAGTGTGTATTCTTTTCTTTTCTGTATAAACAATTCTGTGGAAAGGGCCATGAAACATGCTTGTTATTAGCAGAGATGTGGTTAATAATATACTTCGTAAAATGTGGGGAGACACTAAACTCTCAGGAATTGATTTCAAGATGAAAACCTAAAAATATGCCCTTATTGTACTAGATATTTGACACAGAATGTAACAACTGTACAACGCTACAGTGGATTCTGCATGTTTTGACCCTTGAGTTTGACTTATTTACACTTTTTTGCAGTTGGAAAAGCAGGTACTTCCAGTTCAAAGACTTACTCAAAGTTACATAAATTGCTCTAAAAACTGGAGAATAGTCTGACCATGTAGAGCTTCTCCTCAGAGTCCCCTCCTCGGTGAGTGAAGTCCCGGATCAGGCTGGAGTCCAGGGCCGAAGACGCTGGCTCCACGTTCATCCGGAGTTCAACCACAAGAATACCACCGCTCTGCAGGGAAGACTGGAGAAGAGGAGGTGAGGAAGGGCCAGGGGTTACTAAGGGGGGGGGGGGGGGGCTAGAGGTGGACCAATATGTTTTTTTTCAGGGCTGGGTTGATTTGCCCAAAAATCTGCCACAGCTTTGACTGTTTTGGAAATAATTTGACTGAATTTCCAACATGGATGTAAACTTTGTCGTCTCGTCTCTCTTCAGTCATGCCTGTCACACCCGGAGGAGAGTTTCAGTGCTTTGCTCCCAAGAAGGTAACCACACATGGACATATTTTTCAGTTAAAATACATATCCATATTTAGAATGTAAGGCATCTGTGGGAAATAAATTATTACATTTTATTATATTACATATTTTGTATCCCTCCAATAAACTAAACAAGATGCATCTTCTGGTTGATCAGCAAACTTTTTATCACTTCAGAGATATAGCCCTCAAAAATATTCAAAAGAGACGATTGAAAGGACTTAATGCCACTGACACATTTACAATACGGCAGGATATGCAGCCAACTCTAAAAATCGTTTCTTTTCTCCTAAATTACATATTTTCTAACCTATTTATTTCCTCGTTGACTCAGACTGCGGTGAGCGTCCTGCAGTGGCCACAGCCTCTGTGCGTCATCGACACAAGAGAATTGTGGGAGATGGAGTCTCTTCTCACAAACACAATAGCTCCCACCACAGACAGAGAACCACAGAACCCCACCATCCCTACTACAACAGCACCAATGATGCCGCACTGCCCCACGGGATTGTGGGAGCTGTAGTCCACAGGCAGAAGCGTATCCTGGGGGGGCGTGTCTCTCGAGTGGGGGCGTGGCCGTGGCAGTGCTCCCTGCAGAGTGGGACCAGTGGACATGTTTGTGGATGTGTCCTAATCGCGAGGAGGTGGGCTCTGACTGTGGCCCACTGCTTTGAAGGGTCAGTATCTGAGCTTTTAAACATTAGAAACAGACCATGACTTGTTTTTAGCTTCATTCACCATAATGCATTAGGAACTTCAGGTCCCTTCTTCCCAAAGGCACTGTTATAAAAGTTGTTGCTCAAATGAAACAAAAGTTATACACTTTTTTTAACAACTAACCCATTTACGTAGATATGCCTTCTCTTGTACTGTATGTAAAAGCATTCTCCCTTGTCTTCCTTGTTTGGGTTGGGGTTAGGGTTGGTTTTAGGCAAACGATACTAGACTTATACTTTGGAATAAACATCCAAATAAAATTTCTGCATGGTTGATGTTTAAAGCCCATAAAGCTATGACTTTGAACATAAATAAGTAAATTGTATCTACAGCAGGATTATTGTAAAACACTTTCATGATTTAATTATTATGTCAGGCGAGAGACCGCAGAGCTGTGGAAGGTGGTCCTGGGCCTGAACAACCTGGACCACCCCGGGACCCAGAGCCAGACCAGAGGAGTCCGGACCATCGTAGTCCATCCCAGATACAACAGGGCTGTGGTGGACTATGACATCAGCGTGGTGCAGCTTGAGACCGAGGTAAAACCAGGACGGAACCAGGACCAGTGTACTCAGGATTGACACAAAGATTTTATCGATACTGACAACAGGATCTTGATCTTGAACTCGGCGCTGAACCAAAAATTAAACTGGTGGAGATTAAACAAATGACTGTTGGGTGTGATCTTTAGGTGGAGGAGAGCGTGTTTGTGCGTCCAGTGTGTTTACCGTCCACTGACCAGCTGCCATCTCCTGACTCCTACTGCTACATCACGGGATGGGGACACATGGGAAACCGCAGTAAGTCCCAAAATTATTTGAAGAGCCATTTTCTATCAGTCCATGTTAGTTCTGCCAGCTGGATACATATTTCTACAATAAAGGACACAGACATTATGTATGTCTACATTATGTCTTACTTTTAAACATAAAATGCAAACATAGCTTTTTCAAGATCACATTGAAGGGTCACAAGCATTTATACACCAGGGGGAAGCACAGAGCTAAAGATCAAGGCATTCATATATGAGAAATGTAAGTAAATAATGTTGTTGTGTGTTGCAGTGCCCTTTAAGCTCCAGGAGGGGGCAGTGCGTATCATCTCCATGTCCCAGTGTCAGTCCTACTTTGACTCAAAGACTATAACTCCCAGAATGCTTTGTGCTGGATATGATGCAGGCACAGTGGACTCCTGTATGGTGAGGACTCAACCAGGTCTTAACTAGATCTAAATCCAGATTGTTAACTGGGACTAAATTAGATCCTAACTAGGATTAAACCAGATCTTCGGACTAAACCAGGACTGGGACTGTCTTTGGTAATGCTCATGCCACGGTTCATGTCCTCTGAGAAGGACTTTTAATATTATTAGATTTTAGAAATGTACTATGTTTATCCTGTAATTGGACCACGCTCACAGTTGTTTTATGTTGAGGGACTTTGTGTGACAGAAATCCATTCCCCACAGGGAGACAGTGGTGGTCCTCTGGTCTGTGAGGACCCGTCCGGCCGCTGGACCCTGTTCGGACTCACCTCCTGGGGCTCCGTCTGTTTCAGCAAAGTCCTGGGTCCTGGAGTCTACAGCAACGTCACCCACTTCACCCAATGGATCCAACGGCAGATCTACATCCACACCTTCATCAAGGACTGAACTAGTACTGGGACTGGACTCGGACTGAACTGGGACTGAACTGGGACTGTACCCGGACTGAACTGGGACTGAACCAACATTGAACAAGGACTTGAGTGGGACTGGACCGGCACTGAACAAGGACTGATTCTGATCCGGGACTGAACATGGACTGGACCGGGGCTGGGCCAATAGTGCTCCAGGTCTGATCTGGGACTGGACCAACATTCAACTAGGACTGGACTGGATCAGTACTGAACTAGGACTGGACCAACATTCAACTAGGACTGGACTGGGACTGGATCAGTACTGAACTAGGACTGGGTCTGATCTGGAACTGAACTGGGACTGAACTAGACCTATACTAGAATGGAAAGAGGACTAGAGCAGGAGGAAATATCTTAAAACTGGATTTTGTTTCTATTTATCCATCCATCCATCCATCCATTTTCTTCCCCTTAATCCATTTCTGGGTCAGGGGGGTGGCAGTCAGAGCTGCACCCAGTCACAGAGCACCAGCCCCTCACTGATCCTCCTGCAGGTGGTGAGTCCACAGGAGCTGAGATCTTTCAGTGGGGGCTTCAGGCAAAGTGGGGTTAAGTGTCTTGCCCAAGGAACAACGACAGCAGTCATCAGTGGGAGTCGTGAAGTAGGTCTTGAGGTGGGCTCGAACCCACGACCTTCAGGCTCAAAGGCCAATGCTCTACCAACTGAGCTACTGTCGCCCCAATTTATCACTTTATCTATTTATCACTATTATTATTTATTTAAAATGCACAGGACTGAAACAAACAGGACCAACTGTACATAATTCATCTTTCATCTTCAGATTTACCAGGTCAAAACAAAACAACTCCAAACCTCTTAGAAGTCCATTCTCAGTATCCATGATCTAGACATGGTTCCTTTTTTACATCCCATATTTTCCAAGTGCTTCTGTCATCAGACTGAAGTTGACTCACTTCCTGTTTTGGCTTTATTTTTTAATCAAATCTTAAAACAGAATGGACTAAACCAAGTATTTAATTAACCATTCAAACCTGGACTACATCATAATTTGTCTTTACTGGACTACAACTCCCACAATGCTTCACTCTCGTGCCTGTACTTGTTTTATTCTAATGGTGTGAGATTTCTGTCAGTCTGAATGTTATTTTGGCTTGTTTTGCAGCGCCGGTCGACTGGGCATGTTTAATTATGACAATAGAGAGTCAAAATGCTGCAGATGTTATAAAGTTAAAGCACATTGTGACCAGTGATTATTGGTCACATTTGAAGATGGAATTAACTCGTCTCGGTTCCAAGAGGCAATCAGAGCGATGGGCTTTTAAACGTGTATTTCATACTGTACGAAAGTGAATTAAATGAGATGCAGTTAAAACACCTTTCAGTATTTTAACCCTTGACATTATTAGACGATGATGCTGTCTCCTGAGGTTCAGCTGGAGATCTTTACTTAATGCTTAGTACTTTTGTTTGTAAGCTGTTTTACTTTCTAGACATGTGTAGAACATTTTACTTTTCAAAATAATTGTTAAATTATGTAAAACAGAGACCAAAAACACAAGCTTTTCAATGGATTAATGATTTATCTGCAACAAGTGTTTATTTACTTCAGAGTTAGGTTTCACCGATGTTGCATGAGAAGTATAAAATCTGGTTCTTTCTGCTGAAAGAACCAGAGATGAGGGACCTGCTGCTGTGATGATCCAACATAGACAGAATTGACAACACACTGTTTCCAATTGTCAAACTTGTAACTCAACTTGATCCTCAGGAACTGGAGGATCATGGGAGTTTGCGTTACCTGTCCCCTTTAACGACCCTGAACAGGACTTTTGCCTCTGTGAATGTTCTCTTACATTTGCCCCTTTTGCCGGTGCTGCTCGTACATTCCTCTGTGCTGTATTGTAAAGTCGTGTGGTTTTTTAAAAGTATTTTTCTACTGCTGTTTGTATTAGACGCTTTGAGGCCGAGCGAATGTCTGTAAATGTGTGAGAAGAAATTAAGAAGATAATAAATGTATATATGTGACTCTGGTGCAGTGTGTTTGTTCTTTGTTAATAATCATTTGAATGATGTTCTAGCGGTTTCACACTTAGACTGTACATATAGACACACGTGTTTGTGATGTCACACACATGTGTAATGGCAGGTTTGGGCGCGGTGCATTCACTGTCGCTGGAATAAATGACGTAGGAGCTGCTGGCCTTTATTATTACTGTGTCTAAGCAGTGATAACAATAATTACAGTAATCCAGCAGTAGTTGTACGCACAGTGTGAGTAAGACTTCGTCAAATAAAAGTAATCTTTACTCAAACTGTGTCACAAGCTTTTACTGCTGCAGTGTCAAGTCTGGCAAACAAATCTCATTGGTTTTGTCTCTTATGTATTTAGCCAGTCACACTTCACCTCGTACATGGTTGTTAACTGCTGAGGTGGCCACAGGTGCCATAAGGCAGACTGACAAAAGTGAGGCTAATCTGTGCCATTGGCCCCTCCCACCACCGCCAGTCATTCATACACACACCAGTCTTAAACATGTCTACACTTTAGTCAAATAATTAACCTTAATGTCTCAAAGTATTGATTTTTAGTACTATAAGAACAGATTTAAAAATATATATATTTTAGAAACTATTTAAATTAATGAGAGAAAAGAGATGCAGCTTTCACCTTTTTATCTTAGACCAAACCACAAACATGTAAATACAAACCAGTTCGTACATAAGTTATGTGGCCTGAACTTCTCAGATCTCTGCACCCTAAGCAGGCCAGGTCCTTGTTAGTACTGTGATGGTAGGCCGCAATGCAGAGATGGCAAGTAGCTATACTAGTATTAAAAAAAAAAATATGCTGGCATCAGTATATTACTACTTCTTTCTCTGACAACTTTTTACTTACAGCTTAATTTCACTTCCCACTTCTTACTTTAAAAATGACGACATACTGGTTTGAGGTATAGTTCATTCACTGAGGTTAACCATGCTTATAAGTTCAGATCAGATAATCAGATCATTTGGCTCAAGTTCCACATTCTCTGTCATTGTGAAACATCTTATGAGTCTGGTGAAAGATTGTGGCAGTTGGAGAGGCCTCATTGTGTAGATAGACAACCTCAATTTAGTCCCAGTATGTTTTACCAGTAATACTTTGTTTTATTTTTTTTACCATTAATTTTCTAGTAAAAATATATATACTGATTTAAAATTGTACCTTGCACGGGATGGATGATCATATTTTAAAATTAAGAAAAAATTAACTCTTTAGAAATGAGTGGTTTGCATCATTGGCATCGTGACAATACAAAGCTGCACCAGTGTCCTCCGTCCAGTATGTCTCCTAATCCCCGTAATGTCATGTTCAGCCGGGACAAAGACCGACTCTACAGCCTGTCATTAGACTCACTCAAGTCCACATAAAACCAGCTCTGGACCCACTCTGGATCCAACCAGGACTCAGCCAGGACTGATCTCAAACACGACTGAAGCTGGTCTCTGTTCACATCAGTGGAATGAAATTTGCATGGAAGTTTCAACTGAGTTTTCCAACCTTTAAATGAAAATATATATATATATTTTTTTTCCCCTATGCAAAGTCATAACTTTTTTTGCATGTGTTGATTCTCTGGTCTATGATATTCTTTAACTTTGCTCTAAATCGACTCGTAAGTTTTGTGGGCTTTTCTTTTTGAGGATCTGTCTGCGGATCTCGGTGAGTCACATCCATCTCTTTGTAAAGTTAGCTTACTGGACTTCCTCAATTTGGAATTTCTGTTTTCAAGCTCACCACAATATTATAAATACAAAAGCATTGCCTCTAGAATACTAGCTCTTTATAAAAATTGCTCCAGTAATTAATTCATTACTACTGATAGTCAGACCTATCAGATTGTATTCTCACAGTTCTACCACTAGGGGGAGCACTGTTCATTCTAGTCATCTCATACTCCATTTGTCATCGTTATGGATATTTTGTTTCACTTGAATGAGATATATTTTATGTTATTTGTCTTCCTACCATCAGAAATGTTTGAGAAACTGGACGAAGAATCAACGCGACGATACGCCAACATCGGACCAGAGCCGCTCAAATTTCTACAGGTCAGAATCATAAGCCTCATTCCCACTGCGCACAAAAAAAAAGAAAAAATATGTCTGTTTGCCGAGGCACTTCAGTGTGAACATTCTGACCAAATATAGCCTTAAGATTCAGAGGCTGTTGTGGGTCATCTGAAAAAAGATCATAAAACTAAACAGAAGTCACACAAATAACATAAAGCTCATAACATTTGGTCCCCTCTGCAGTTGGACTCCTGGACAGTTCATTTTTACCACTAGATTCCGGCCATTTTCAACCGTCACTTTGCACTTCTATCTTTCATAGATCTGAACTATAAATAAACAAAATATACTTATTTTATATAATTTTTTATCAGATTTTTTGTGTGATTTCAGAATAGTGACAATACTGTTTTTTTTTTTTTTGCAAGTGCATTTTGCCAAATTTAGTGAAATGGTAACCACATGACAAGGTATCCAGAGAAAACAATTGCCCAGTACCTTGTCTACGTACCACAGCTCTGCCTCTATCTGCGGATAAACACACAGATAGACAGAAGAACTATTTCATTTCATTTCATTTCATTTCATTTATTCATTCATTTCAAACCTGCAGGTGTATACAAACAGGAAAACAAGATACAAATTCTGCTTGGTTTGAAAGGGTGGAAGCTTACGCTTAAATAAAACCACGCCCCACACACTCCACTTGCAGACAAATCATTATCACAAATGATTACAACACAAGACATTCAACACAACACAGCACAACACAAACACACAGGCTCAATACTCTCCGACCCCACACCCCTCTCCTACTGTCACAAATACATATAGGTATCATGTTCTCTCCTCCAGGTACTTTTCCATCGCAAAACTTGTAAAATATCGTTTGAACTGTGTCAAATTTAAACAGTTTTTCAGGTCCTCATTGAGTCCATTCTACAAACTCACTCCTC